TTCCTTACTGTGGCTGTCCCTAGGAAGGACCCTGACAATTCTCACAACAGGATAAAAGGAGCTGAGATTGATAGGACTCCTGGCACATAGCAGATGCCATGTAACCAGCTCCTCAAGCCTTTCCAGTCTTCTTTCACCTTGGTCCTCTATCTTCTCTGAGCCAGGGACACTGGCCTCCTGGCTGATAATGACCAGACCCTCCATCTCCAACCCTGTACCTTCCCAATGGCTGTGTCTCATGCTTGGAAAGTCCTCCCCCTCATCTGGCCTCCTGGCTTTAGTCTCAGCTAAAATCTCACCTTCTGAAAACAAGCTTTTCCTGGACCCTGACACTGCCAGAGCCTTCCCTCTCAGGGTACCTCCCATCCACACTGTACACAGCTTGTTTGCATGCAGGTGTTAACATGTTGTCTCCCCATTAGATTATAAGCTCATGGAGGGCAGGGACTGTCATTTTTTCAACCTTCCTTTGCATCCCCAGTAGGTTAGCACAGTGCTTGGTACAGGGGAGCCACTCTCTAAATGCTTCTTGACTTGACCTAAGAAATGACAAATGGCAGGGATTTAGAGACACCAGGGAAGGCCTGTGTGGCCTGGGGCAGGAGGATATGAGCAGAACCAGGAGGACAATTTCTGCTCTGCTGATAGCACTGCAAAGGCCAACTTAGGTCTAACAGGGTAAAGCCTCCTTGGCTCTCTTGGCTTCCAGGTTTGCTGAGGCTGGCCAGGTCTGTGGATGGACTGCACTCACCTGGGATGAGGGGCTCTGGGTCCCAGGGGCCATGCTCTCTGGTTCTAGGCTCTCTCCTAGGAATAGGCTTTGGCCTTCTGCAAGCTGACCTGGGGAAGGAGAAGCATTTCAGAGATGGGAAGTCTTTGTCTTTGCCTTATCTTCCTAGGGCGGATGCTGACGTACCTGGAAAGGTGGAGGGTGAGCTCTCAGAGCAATTACAAAGGCCCTGCCATGGACCTGCCCCTGGGGAGAGAATGCACCCCAGGAGGAGGGCAACTGGGAGAGTCAGGCTGGGAAGTGAACTTCTTTTGAGCAGGAAGAGGACTTACCTCCCACTTTAACTCCTTGTCTTTGCCTCATGCCCCTCCTCCATCCTCCTACAGACACCAGGAGGCAGAAGGGGCTTGGGATCCCAGCTGGGAGGAGACCAATTAAGGCCTCAGTGGCTCCAGACCAGAACTCTGCCTCCACCTGATACTATGGGTGAGATATGTGGGTCGGGCAACTGTGACCCATTGGTAAAACTGGGTATGGCACCCTAGGACTATTGAGATGTGGCAGGGAGCCTGGACAAGTAGCTAGGGCAACCCCCCAGCCAGGCCTTGGAGGTAGGCCTGCTCCTGGCAAAGCTGGAGGACAGTCACCAAGATGTCAGAGAGGGAAGATGAGGCCCAATGGAAAGGGCAGCCAGTAGAAGTAGGGGCTGGGGAGGGGTCCTCATTCAGACCTACCTGGCACCTGCACCCACAGAGCTGACTCCCACAAGGCAGAGAGATCTCAGCTCTGAGGAAAGAAGATGGAGAGATCTCAGATCCTAGGGCTGCTGCTTCCAGCAAGGCTGTACTGGGTGGGTCCTCCTAATCTCAAGAATCCTGCCCTGCACTCCCCCCAGTCAAGTAGAATGACCTTTCTTTTCCCCTCCTCTCCCCTCCCCTCCCCTCCCAGGCTTCTGTACTTCACCCCAGGGAAAGAATTCCACCAGGGCCACCACCCACCTGGCTGGTCACCTGTGGGAACTCCCCTCCCCCATTCCTCTATCACCTCTTTCCCTCCCTCCCTTACCCTCCTCTGAGACTCCAACTCTTCTTTTCAGCCCAATCTCCTGGTCTTCCCACTCTCCCCCTATTACACTCACTTTCTTTCTCACAAGCCTATATCTTTCCTGCTTCTCCCAGCCATTGCCATCCTGATTCCCTCCCCACTCAGGCCCCACCTTCGTTCTCTAGGGCTTGGGCTCCAGACTTGCATGCCCCCCCTTAGCCCTCCTCCAAAAGGAAGACATTTCCCACCTTGCCCCATCTCCATTCTTGACCTTCCCCACCCCAATCCTAACTGTGCTTTGTGTTCTGTCTCATTTCCATTTCCTAAGAGATGTTCCATGTCTGGCAGACAGCCGGATCCTAATGAGGAGCTGAGGCCAGGACATCAGGACACCTGGTGCCAGGGCATATGTTACAGCTCACGTTACAAACTTTCTCTACCCATGCATATAAACCTTCCCATCTTCCAGGAAGTCTAGGGGTTTGGCTGTTACCTGATTAAGCAAATGAAATCCATCCACTGGGAGGTCCCACTATTTCTCCCTTCACCCCTCAAAACCTGGGTTCTAATGGGAAGGAGAGAGGTGCAGGAAGTGGGAAGCATTGGTCCTGGGGCTGGAGGATGGCAGGAAATTAGGAAGGACTGGTGTGGAGTTACTGTTGGGGGTGGGGGGAAACACAGTACTACAGGCACTGAATCCTGAATGATCCTTCTGGCATTTTTCTTTTTTACCAAAGTAAAGACAGGCCAGACCACCCAGGACCTTATCTTGCTATGGGAAGTGGTGAGTAGGGAGGGGCTCCATGGATGAAAAAATTACTGGGCTGGAGAATGGGGCCTCAGGCTATGGATTGATACCCAAAATCCAGGCACCGCAGCTGAGTAGGTACTGATCTTGGTTCTTCTTTCCTGAATTGGAGAGGACAGGGAAATTTGGGGATGAAAATGAAGCCAAAAGAAGGAAGACAGAGAAAGATAGAGACGCATACCTGTACACACACATACACATATACACGCATACATGTGTGTATCTATATATACGTACACACATACATCTATAAGTATCAGGACACAAAATGTGTTCCCAGTGGTTGGCACTCCCTTCTCACAGGGCAGTACAGTCAGCTGATCAAGGCTGGGACAAGGACCTTTGGCAGATGAACAGATGTCCAGAGGAGCAGAATAGCCTGGTCCAACCACAAGCTGATGGTCCTCAAGCCTGTGTCTCAGTGATAGGGAAACTCCTGTCTTTTGAGATCCCGAGTGCTGACCCAGGGGTCCCCTGGGTTTGGGCTCCTACACTGTCTCAGTCTCTGGCCACTATTCATACACAGCAGGTAACAGGGCAAATAAATATTCTTGTAACTCAGTTGTTTTAGTCATGTCACACACTTCATGACCCCATTTGGGGTTTTCTTGGGAGAGATACTGGAAAGGTTGGCCATTTCCTTCTCCCACTGAGGAAAGTGTACCCAAAAGGGGTGAAGTGATTGTCCAGGGTCACACAGCTTGGAAGTGTCTGAGGCCAGATTGGAATTCAGGAGCATGAGTCTTCCTAACCACAAGCCAGGTGCTCTATCCAATCATTGTGCCATCTAACAGCCCATCCTTTACTGGTGAATAAATGTATGCATGCCAAGGGTGAATTTCATGAGGGTCATTGGTGCAGGTCAGGTGGTCTATGGGCCTGGTTGGTGGTCCCTAGCTCCTATCCAGGGAGGGGACCATAATGCCAGAAGGTTCTGAAGGAGCTGTCCTGGGTGTATTGACTCAGCTTCCAGGCTGCCTGCCTTTCATGCCTTTATTTCTCCTCACCACCATGAGTATGAGTGTGAGTGTGTGAGTGTGTATGTGTGTGTTGTGTGAGTGTGTGAGCATTGTGTGAGTGTGTGTGAGCACTGTGTGAATGTTGTGTGTGTGTGTGTGTGAGTGTGTGTGTGTGTGTGTGTGTGTGTGTGTGTGTGTTTGGGGGATTGGCAGTGATGAGAAGGTGCAGGGTTCTGCCTCTCCTACAATCTTGATTTCATCTTCTTACTGGACACTTTCACTTGGGAAGCAGCTCCATGTAGCACAGACTACTCCAATACACAACATTCTTACACACAGCCAGTGCTGGTGCTGCTTCATGGGGGCTTTTGGGGGGCTGGGACAACACATTCTGGTTTGACCTTTCCCAGAATCTCCACTGTATGTCTGCTTCAGGAGTGGGTGGGCCAAAACTTAACTCTGCTAGCAATCTGGGCAGGCCTCACTGACAATGAGGACAGTCAAATGATGCCCCCTGCTCCGATGTTCCTCCCCTCAACCCTAGCACCTGGGCTGCCACACCAGCAGTGCCCAGGGTGGGTTACCCTCTCTCTGATCAGAGACCCTCCAGTAACTTGAAACATTCATGGAAGGAGGAAGTCTGCCCCTCTAGAACTCTGCCTGGTGACCCCCTGTCTGGCCACTACGGTCCTTGTGAACTTTTGCTCACCCTCCACCCTCAAAAGGTGACCCAACTTGCCCACTGATGGAGATGCCTCCATTTATGGTGGGCCTACACCAATTCTGCATTTCCAATGCTATTTACTCCTAACCCATCCAGCTGAACTAGCTCCTTCTTCTATTCCCATCACAATCATTTGGAGGAATAGTGTTGTTATTGGGTGGGAGCCTCGTCTGGACCACAACAGAAGAGTTCCTACCACCTGGGCACAGTAGGCCAGAAACTCCAGCTTGGCCCTGGTCTGTGGCTCATGAGTGGAAGGGGCAAAAGGGAGGGAGGACTCCCTGTGGCTGAGGCATGTGCTTCAGGCCCTGGTCCTTGCTCTCTTCAGTGAGGGCAGGGAGCCCTGACCATTCAGGTATGGCTTCCAGAAGACCTAGTCACAGCCTTGGTTAGAACTCACAGATCTAAAAGGAGTTCCCTGGCTCTGAGCCATGGCCCCAGACCCTCAACCCCTGAGTTCAAGTCTTGAATCAATGCCAAGCTTCTCAGGATGATCAGGGCAAATGCCTGGTTTGGGCAACAGAGGCCTAAGTAGGAGATGAGTAAGGGTCCCTCTCAGTGAAACAGTGACCCAGCCCTCAGAGCTGCCAGCACCTCTAAGGCTCTGCTTTGGTCAGTGGCTCAGGAACTAAAGGGAGGTCCCTGGGGTCTAGGCTTGGCTTGTTACCAATCCAGCTGATTCAGTCAGACTCTGTCAGTTAGGAATAGTTCCAGGCGTCATTACAGGCAGCTGGATTAGTGCCTGGCACAACACTGCTGGTTGGTGGGTAGGCTGCTCTGGTCTCCAGGCAGGAGGGGCACAGTGGCAGCACAACCTAAATGGGGACAGGGAAAAGGAAGGGAAGGGTTAGGGGAAGAGCCCAGGTACCTCCCATGCAGGGGGTTAAATGAGCCCTGTAGGACAAAGGAGAGGAGAGGGGAAGACAGTCAAACAGACCAAAACTGTTGGTGAATGCTGCAGCTGCTGGGGATTTGAGGGGTATTCATAGTCTCTCTGGGGTGATGCCCTCCTGATGTGGACAGATAAGGCATTCCTGGTCAGCTCTGAAGGGAAGATGGGGGATCCCTCCTATCTTCAAAGGGGGGCAGAGCATTCCCTCCTCCAGCATCTGAGCAGAGCCACATCTCATCTGTAGATTCAGGGTTGGTGAAGCTTTTGCCCAATGTCCTAATCTTAGACCATCTTGACAGCGATGTCCTTATGCCCAGGGTAAAGCAGGTACTTTACTGAAATGCATGGTCAGGGGAGGCCAAGATATGGAAGACTGCAGCGAGTCAGGGAGTAAAATTCCACAACAAATTAAAAACTGTCAAAAGTGAGTTACAAGATGGGCCCCAAGGGCCAAGTTGGGGTTTGAGAAACAAAGGTCCACCTGACAAAAAGTTTCTACTACATGGATGCAAAGGGCTTTCAGTCTTTCCCACTAGCTGGAAAACAGGCAGGTCTAGCAACCATAATTCAAGGAAGCAGACAAGGATATAGCAAATGCTTGTAGAGTTCCTGACCAGCTGTGTACTGGGCCCTAAGCTAGGGTCTGGTGGTGCAATGATGTGAACATGGTCAAGTAGAAGGCTGGTGGTATCCTTGAGGACCACTAGGTGGCACAGTGGAAACAGCTTTTTGTTTGGGACTTTCCTTGTGAAAGGGAGGAATCATAACTTCCTGATGGTAGGGTCAAGTGAAGTGCTTTTAAAGATGGGGAGATGAGGGGATTTCATACTTTGAGTCAGCACTTCAGTGGATGGAGTGCTAAGAACCATCATTTTGGGTTTTCTGGGCAAAGACACTGGGACAGTTTGCCATTTACTTCTCCAGATCATTTTGCAGATGAGGAAACTGAGGTAAACAGGGTTAAGAGACTTGCCCAAGGTCCCATAAGTAGCAAGTGGTCTGCCAGTTGATTTGAACTCAGGTAGATGGGCCTTCCACACCAGGGGCTCTGTCTACTTCTCCATCAACTTGACCAGCTAAAAAGAAGACCTGAGTTCAAATTCCACCAAATCACTGTTATCTTCACTCTGGGCAAGTTAATTGACACTCCTCTGGAATAACATGGTCTTTGTCAGGGAAACCAAGGTTTCAAAAACTCCTATGCCCTGTATAAAAGGGATGTTATGTCATCTAATACAACCTCCTAATTCCACACATTGGAAAATGAGGCCCATGAGACTGAATGCAAGTGTGCTGCAGACCACTCTATTCTTCTAAGATTATGCACCTTCCAGGCACATGCTCCACTCACTGGACTTTCTACCCCTTCCCCATCTTCCAACAGATAGAAAACTACTCCCTTCTCCCCTGGGCCTTAGCATCCTTCAAGATGGCACTCACATCCTCCCTTCTGCAGGGCTGCCCTGGTTTTCTCCCTCCATCCCCAGCTGCTAGTGCCTTACTCTCAGAAATTGCCTCCTAGCTGTCTCCTCTCTCGAGTCTAGCAGCCTGACCTAAGGAATTATTTACAGGCTGTGCACAGAGAGCCAGACTGACAAATCAGGAAGACCAGAGTCTGAGACCAGTCTCAGATCCAGCTGGCAGGGATACCTTTAGCAAGTCACTGAGAAGAGACTAATGACCTGGAACGCATTCAAGATCCACGCTAGAGTCAGAGATCTGGGATCAGCTCCCAGGAGGTCAGGCACTCCACCCACATAGAGAGTTCCCAATATTCATAAATTATACAGCAACTGTCACATCATTTCCTTTAGAGTGCAAACTCCCCGAGGGCAAGGAGTGTTTTAGTCTTTCTTTGTCCAGCCCTGGGTGGAGACTGGAACTCCGAGAGAGATGGGAAATAAGGAACAGATCCATGGGGATGTCCACTAGACAGAAAAGCAAAAACTTAGCTTGGGGGAAAGAGGAGGGGGCTAGTGGAGGAGGGACCTGGTAGGGACAAATTCAGGGGAGAACCATTAGCATTTCATTGTAAGTGCAGACTCCCTCAACAAAGACCAGAAGGCAAAAAGGAGGCTTCTTTTGTATTTTACAGATGAAAACAAAGACTTGGTAGAACTTGGGGGCAGCCAAAGGAATAGCTGGGGAGGTCTCAAAGGACAGCAGCAGCCCCGAGGCCCTCCTGGTCAATACAAGATTAAAAGAATGGGGAGGCCGGCAGAAAAAGGAGAGGGGAAGGTAGAGGGTGGAGGAATGAAGGCCCAGAAAAAGGTGGGAGAGAAAACTGAGAAACCAGGAATGGGGGCAGGATGAAGCAAAAACAAATGCCAATGCAAGTGAATGGAAGAAGGGTCAGAGATGGGAGAAGGCTGGCACCTGTAATTAGGTGGGCTAATGGAGGGCAGATCTACCCTCTACTCTTACAGCCTATAGAACTTATTACAAATCCTGGCATGGATTAATTAAGAGCTGAATAAATGACCATTCATTCATCAGGAGAGGTTAGAGGAATTGAGAACCAAGTTCCAGGTCCCCAGTCATTTAAGAGGTAGCCACAAATTCCCTGGCTCTGGGGAACCCAGTCCCTGTCCAAAGGCACTTAGGAATAAAGCTCAGCAGCAGCAGAAACGAGTCACATCAACTAGGCTCCTAGTGTTGGGGTGCTTGTACTTGGACCCCAATTTCTCCCTAGCCTCAGAAACACTGCCCTGACAGTTTCTCCCCAGCCCAAGGACCCTGTGTCTAGCAATTACTCAAGAGCGGGCCCCAGCAAAACCCTTACCTCTCTCCCTGAGCACCTGAAGGATTTATTAGTTTGAACTGGCTTTGCACTGGGTCATAAAGACATTTTACCCACTGAACTATCTATTCTACCACCCTACCTCATTATCTACATCCTGGACTCCTCATTAACTGTTTTCTAGACTTAAAACATATGTATACTTCCTACATCTATCTTGTCAAACAAGACATTGACTGTGGCACAATGGACAACTCTCAGTTACCCTGCACTCCACTTGACTTAGTGAGGTAGCAGGCCTAAAACCATACCTCCATGTGGCCCATGTGAACTCTGGGTAAAACGCCCACACAGTAGGTACAAGAAGTGCATGTTCCTTTAAGAACTGACCACTCCTTAACCACTCCCTAATCCACCCTGAATACCTAGTTAGCATATTTGACACAGTCTATATTTTACTATATAAAGCTTTAGCTATACTGTTTTAAGATTGCAGGTTCCTTAAGAATCCTTGCCCACTTAAAAGCGTAATATTAAACTTTTTGCAACTTGGCTTAAGATTGCTTGAGTTTGTGAATTCATTCCAGATAACCCATTTTGTACTTGGGTTTTTTGAGGGGTTCCAACCTCTCAATCCTCATCATTTCTTTGGCGCCCAACGTGGGGCTTGTCTGAAAGCTCAAGCCTCCTCCAAGTCAAGGTAAGCCTCCCCATCCACCCGCTCTGTAGTTGGGTTGCCCCTCAAGCACCTAGGAAGGCTTGCTGGGGCTGGGTCGAGCCTGCAATAGGCTCTAGCGGATTTCCCTCTTAACAAGGGACGCCTTGTTTGGGAACATCTGCAGTTTTTTTTTTTCTCCCTCACCAGGACGCTGGTGGAGGCGAGTAGACCACAGGTACAGTACCTTTCTTTTTTTTTTTAAAGGCCTTATAGGCAAAGAGGATGGGCCAATCTCCCCCCATCCCTTGAGATTCGCCCTTAGGATGTCTTTTAAACAACTGGAAAAAGCTTGGTCTTCAAGACCTCAAGAAAAAAAGCCTTGTGTTCTTTTGCAACTCTGCTTGGCCTCAGTACAGTCCGGAGGACCAGGAAAAATGGCCTGTCGGGCGCATTTTAAATTATAACTCCATTCTGCAGCTAGATCTGTTTTGCCGCCGGGAAGGGAAATGTACAGAAATTCCGCACGTCCAAGCTTTTATGCTTCTTTCCCAAAATTCAGACTTGCGGAAACAATGTAGGAAGCTCCTGGTTAAATTTACTCCACAAAAGGATGGATAAAGACCAACCTGATCTCCTGGATGATCCCCTTCTCTCAGGCCCCCAAACTTCGGCTCCAGGAGCATCTATAGAGCCCCCTATTTCCTCTCCTACCCCTTCTGCCCCTTCTCCCTCGGCAGAGAGTGGTCCTTACCAGGAAGCCAGCAAACTGCTGTGGAAGGATCCACCCCCTTACCCACCGGCTCCGCCGGCCCATTGGTCCCCTAAAGTTCCACTTTCTCAGAGTTCGCCGCTGGCTGCACCTCTGGCTCCATTTCCCAACAGCCCTCACTCCTACCGAATCCGCCTGCCCATTGGTCTCCTCAACCTCAACAGCGGGACTCAGTTTCCCAGCATCCCTCACTCCCCTGTCCTTCTCTTACTAGGGGTGGGACTCCCTATTTCCCTCCACCCCAAGCCCCTGATTTCTCCATTCCCTCCCAACTGTATCCTTTGGGGGAAATAGCCGATTCAAGTGGGGGAACGATTAGAGTTCGGGTCCTTTTTTCTGTGACTGATCTCTCCCAGGTTAAGGAAAAACTTGGTCCCTACTCTGAAAATCCTACTAAGTTTGTAGAGGGTTTCAGAGCGATCTCTCTTCAATTTGAATTGTCTTGGGGAGATACTAATATTATTCTCTCCACCTGTTGTACAATTGAGGAGAAAAAGAGGATCGGGTACTTAGCCCAGAAGTTTAGGGATGAGATGGCTATATCCTCACCTGCCAGATACTCTTCAGGGGCTATAGCCGTCCCGATTGCAGATCCTGGCTGGAATTATCAAAGGGATGCAGACAGGGACAAGAGGGATCATATGTTACTATGCCTGGTTGAGGGGATGAAAAAGGGCTTTAAAAAGCAAGGAAATTATGCAGAATCAGGGAAGTAACCCAGGGAGCTGATGAGAACCCAGCTCTTTTCCTGGGCGGGTTAGTAGAAGCTGTAAAGCGATTCACTAACCTGGACCCTCATTCCCCTGAGGGAGCAGCCATCCTTGGTGTGCATTTTATTAGCCGGTCAGCCCCAGACATTTGGCGGAAACTTAGGAAACTGGCAATGGGACCACAAACACCTCAGTCCCAATTATTGGAGACGGCTTTTGGAGTCTTTAACAACAGAGACCTAATTCTGGCAGAGTAAAAAGACTGTAAATCTAGGGCCAGAAATAAAGAGCAGGCTCAGCTTATGGCTGCTGCCATAATCGGCAACCCCAATAGTGCTCCTGGCATCTTGAAAATGGGGACACCTGCCTCCGATGCCACAAGAAGGGTCATTGGTCCCATGAGTGCCCTTCCAGGATTTCTTCCCAGAGGAACCCTCCGGGACCATGCCCACTCTGCAAACAAGTTGGGCATTGCAAGAGGGATTGCCCCCATGGTGTGATGTGTGGTCGAGCAGCCTCTTCCCAGTGTCCTGCCCTCCGGTCCTCTCCGGACTTGGAGTGATGGGGCCCAGGGCCTGGCTTTGCTCCCACCTTCTCCATCTCGCTGGCTGAGCTCTGGGTGTTCGTCGACGTGGCAGGTAAGCCTATTAATTTTCTCATTGATACGGGAGCAACTTATTCTGTGTTATTACAGCATTCTGGCCCCACTCGTCCCTCTAGCTACAGAGTGATGGGCATTGAAGGCAGAGCAAGGAATTGTCACGAGACATTTCCTTGCCCTGCCAGTTTGGGGATCTGTTGTTTGACCACTCCTTCCTTATCCTCTCCTCCTGTCCTGCTCCCTTGTTGGGAGTTTTCCCTGATTCTAAACCCTGTGCCCTATCCATTAGAAGAAATAGCTCCTCTACTCTGTTGTGAATATCAATGTGAATTAAAAGAAATGTGACTGAATTGTCCATATGCCATATGTGAAGTCCACATAAAGTCCACATAGAGCCAGCTGACTCTACCATGAGAACAATGATCCAAGGAATGATAACCAAAAAAAATAGCCAATATTTCTATAGTGATTTGTTTGTGAAGCAGTTTACAAATACTCTTCAGTTTAATCCTCACCTCCAGCCTGGGAGGTAGATGCCCTTATTATCCCCATTTCACAGATTGGGAAACTCAGGTAGGATTAGGTTAAGTATCAGAGACTGAATTGGAATTAAGTCCTTACAGTTTTATGCACAACACATCATCTACTGTATCACAAAACTGCTTTAAAAAAATCGTGAAAGGAATCAATGTCCAATAGTAACTAAAACGTAAATACGAGGAAGTTCTGGGCTTGTAAACAGGAAAGAAAGCAAGTACCAATTAATGAGGAATAGCTGAAGAATGTAAATATGAATACCATGGAACACTAAGGAGGGATGACAAACATTAGGATTTCAGGCAAAAATCATCATATGTTTATAGCTTTTTATGCCAGGATGGAATTCAGGATGTTTAATGAGGTCTCTTCTGTTAGTAAGTCCAATGAAATTCAGTGCTGTAACAGGGGGCCTTCCCTTGTTAATAAGAAGCCTAACTTTCATCTCCAGCACGTTTTCCCCAAAGTACAGTCAAGTAGAAGCTCTAGGTGAAATCTTTTTCACAACCTTTGACTTTATCCTCCTTCATTACAGTAGGAATAAGATTACCTACTGATCACCTTCTTCCAGAGAAAAGCATGGCATCCCTGAGCACATTTGTAAGGCTTCTGTCTACAATGGAGCCTCTGAGAGAAAGTAAGTGATGATCTTTAGCCTTCCCACACTGAGTCCGCAGGGAACTGCTCCACAGAATAGCTTCCCTAATCCTGAAGAAGCTCTGAACTCCTTTTGAATACCTTTCCTTATTCATGACAATGATCAGATTTCTATCTCATATGAATTCTGAGATGGGAAATAAGAGAAGATTGTTGCCTGAATGCATTACCACCTTGATTATATTCGTAAAGTTTCTCTAAAGAAGAGTGGTAGCTAAAGGCTCTGCCCCATTCTTCACCTTCAGGAGGTTTGTGTCCAGTGTGGACTCTCTGATGTTTAGCAAGATTGGAGCTGTATTTGAAAGCTTTTCCACAGAGATTGCATCCATAAGACTTCTCTCCAGTGTGGCTTCTCTGGTGTGCAGCAAGACTGGAGATCTGTGTGAAAGCCTTTCCACACTGATTACATTCAAAAGGTCTCTCTGCAGTGTGGATTTTTTGATGAGCTGCAAGATTCTTCCACATTGTGAAAGCCTTTCCACACTGATTACATTCAAAAGGTCCAGTGTGGATTGTCTGATGGCCAATAAGGAGTGATCTATAGCTGAAAACATTCCCACATTCATCACATTCATAAAACTTCTCTCCACTATGAATCTTCTGAGGTCCGTCAAGATCTGAGGCATTTGCCTTCCCATGCTGAACACATGCATATCTTTTGATTTTAGGCTGGCAAGGAAGAGATGAGTGAATGGATGAGTGTGTTTCACATTTATTATATTCATCAGGCTCCTTTCTAGTGGGAATTTGCTGTTGAGTAGTGAGCTTAAAGTTCCAACTCAAGGCCTTCCCATCTTTATTACTTACAGAAAGCATTTCTCCAATATCACTTTTCTGACACCTACTGAGGTCTGAACTCCAGCTCAAGGCCATTTCCCTTTGATTGCATGGATACCGTGACATTTTGGGAGGCTTCCACTGGGACTGAAAAGGTTCTACCTGTTCAGTAAAGCACTTCCTATATTCACTATCCTGAAGACAGTCATTCCCTGAGGTCATTTTCTTACAGTGATTTAGGGTAGAAGACTGTCTGAATCTCTTTCCAATATCATCAAATTCACAGTCACTCTTTGGATTTTTATCTACCTTGAAATTAGAGTCAAGAATTTTTCTCAATATGAATTCACAAAGACCATCACCCATGAATCTTTGCAGGCCTCTTTCTTCCAAAAAAATTTCCAGCTTTCTAGTTATTTCATTTACTTTGCATCTGATCTCTATATTTGAAGAAAACAACAAAATCAAACATATATACACCAAAAGATATACACACATAAATAAATGCAATAGCATAGGTTACTGAAGACTTCTGCAGCTCATGACCTGCACATCACCAACCTAAATGCAACAAGACTTAGTGGATGTAATCTTGGAGCAAATGTTGGCAGAAGAGACAGACAGGATGGGAAAGTGATGAAGGAGATGTTTACCACAAAATGCTTGACCCATCAGAGAGGAAACATTAACATTCAAGCAAAGTAGCAATGCTAAGCCAAGGTCACTACCAGAAGACTCAGTGTCAACAGCTGTCAGTGACTCTCCATGGGAGAACAGTTTGTTGCTTGGAGAGAAGGTTGAGCCAAAACACAGTGTTCAACAATAGAACATGAAAGCAGCTTTCAGAGAATTATTATACAGCACCATATCCACTCATTTGGGCCAGAACACTAGTAAAAATCCAAATTGGTTTTGATGAAAATGATAGGGAAATTCACCAGGTGCTAAATAAAAAATGAGAATGACAGGTCTACCAGTAGGTTACTTCATCCATCTCTAAGAAGGCCATATTTAACTCCAACAAAAGTTAAATGCAAGCAAATCTTATAGATTCAAGAGTCATGGTTCAATAAGAAGCCAGAGGAAATTCAGTTTCCTGCTGATAGTAACAATCCAAAACACTTTTGTGATGCCCTGAAGGCTGTGTGGTTTGTTCTTACTCTGAAAGAGGACCGTGACATGAGGAAGATGATGCCATGATGTACATTTGAAATGGATTTAAGTGGAGAGCTGAGCAAAGTCAACAACCTCACTTTCTCCTCCACAGCCATCTGGGTCCAGGGGCCAGATACAGATCAGTATACCTAGAAATGGCCCAGGATGCAGTGGGAGACCTTTGGTGTTTTTTTTTTTAAGATGAGATCTTCCCAATTTCTCATTTTGACTGTGGCAATGCCCATTCAGTTATTAGGCCTGTATTAGAAACCAGTCAAGGGATGAGTCCTTTAATTAAAAAAAAAAATCAAACTTTGATTGGAAGACCCTCAGGATTGCTGGCCTAAGGAGAAACAATTGTTATTTACACTTGATCTAAGCCATCAGGACCCAAAATATAACCATTAAGTGTCCTGTGGGCAGGGACCTATTGTTGGCCAATCAATGAGAGCCAGACTGAATTGGGATTAAGGCTGCAGGGTTGTGGTTTTGCCTTTGTTCTGGAAAAGGACCATGACATCAGGAAGATGGTGCCATAAAGTACAATTGAATTGAGGAAGTGAGGGAGGGCTGTGGCAAGTCACCAACCCTCACGTTCTCTTCCAGAGCCATTTGGGTCCAGTGACCAGATAGAGATCCAGAGAACTGGAGATGGCCCAGCTCCCTGAAGGCTACTTATGGGACAAAGACCTATCCACCCATGGTGCTGCTCAACTACTCAGTGCTGATGGAGCCACATTGATCGGTGATAAGGACATGATCCTGGAGAGTTGGGCTGGACACTTCCATAGCATTCTCAAGAGACCACGGACAAGCACTGTTGTAGCTACTGGCCATCTACCTCAGGTTGTACTCAATCAGTCCCAAGCCATTCCCCAGGTGATGAGTATCCCCTCAACTTACAGTTGTGGCTACCAAAATGAGACCTATTATAAATATTTTAAAACACACACACACCTATATATGTTTTTTCTGTTTTCCTTAACCATCTAGGAAACAGACCTCAGAATACTATTACTGGATCAGGGGGAGACACAGTTTGGTAACTCTTTGGGCATAATTACAGGTGGCTCTGCCAAACTGATAGATCAGTTCACAGTTCCGGTGAATTAGCGTCCCAAGTTTTCCCTATTCCCTCTAATATTTGTCCCTTTCCCCTTCTATCATTGTAGCCAATATGATAGGTATAAGATGATATCAAGATTGTTTTAATTAGCAGTTCAGTGATAAATAATGATTTAGGGCATTTTCTCATTTTCTCACCAAGTTCTTTATATGTTCCATCATGTTCTTTTAATCTCCTATGATGTTTCCACTTATATCTAGATCACGTATCCATTTGGATCTTATCTGGCTAAATGGAGTATGATATTGATCTCTGTGCAATTTCTGACAGAATACTTTCTAGCTTTCCCCACAATTTTCATCAAATCAGGAATTCTTATCACTAAAACATGTCTTGACATTTTTCAAAAACATAGTTACTGTATTTGCTACCATGTCATGTACGTCTACTCTGTTCTGCTCATCTACCTTTCTATCTCTTAGCCAACACAAGATATGTTTATTTTCACTATCATTGTTTTCTGTTTTTAATTTCCACTATTTTGAATTCATGGAATAAAATAAGCATTTCCATAACATAGTAAGATAATGAAAAGATGATTGCACATGAAGCAGCAAATCAATTATGTACCACTTCCTATTCCTTTTAAATAGGTAATAAAGTTATCATTTAATTTTTTTTCTTCCCTGTTCAATTTGGCCTAGAGATATACATACATACATACATACATATATATATACATACACACACACACACACACACACACACACACACACACACACACACACATATATACATAATCATGTCAAACATACTTCTATTTATCAGTTCTTTCTCTGGAGGCAGATAGTATATTCCTTCATATGTCCTTTGTATTATTGGGTGTTTATAATAATCAAAATGGCTTGTTCACCTAAAGTTATTCTTAAACATATTTTGCTGTTACTTTATATAACATTTTCTTGGGTCTGCCCCTTTCCCACTTCATTATCTTGTGCAAGCCTATCCATGCTTTTCTAAAATCATCAAGCTCATCATTTCTTATAGCACAGTAATACTTCATCACAATTATCCATTACACCTTGGTCAGTCACTCTCCAATTGAAGGGTATCCAGTTCTCTGCCACCACAAAAAGAGCTGCTATAAATATTCTACAATATAGAGATTCCTTACTTTTTTCCCTAATCATCTTTGAAAATACACCAAAAATACATTAAGGAGAGGTATTTTGGGGGTAGATGGAATAGGCAGTTTAAGAAGTCTTCGGAGATAATTCCAGATTGATCTCCAAAATGGTTAGATCAGTTCACAATTCCACGAACAATGAACTAGTACACCAATTTTTCCACATCCTCTACAACAGTTATCACTTTCCCTTTCATTTCATCCAATCTGATAGGTGTAAAATGATGTCTCAATATTCTTTAATCTGCATCTCTACTCAATAATGATTTTGAGTATTTTTTGATATGACTCTAAATTGTTTGGATTTATCCATTGGAAAACTGCTGACCATATCTTTTGACCATTTATCAATTGGGGTAGGAATCATAATCTTACAGAATTTACAAATCTTTGTGTATATTTTGTATATATGAGATGTGAGAAGTTTATCTGAGAATCTGTATATAAAATCCCTTCTAGCAAATTTTCCACTTTCTATCTAATCTTGGTTACATTGCTTTTATTTGTGCAAAATAATTTTAATTTAATGTAATCAAATTTATCCATGTCATACCCCATTCTCTCCCATGTCTCTAATTTATTCATAAATTGTTCACTTTTTGATAAGTCTAATATGTAACATGTTCCACATTCTTCAATTTTTTGGTAATATTTCTCTTTAAATCTAGGTCATGTATGCATTTTCACCTTGTCTAGATAAGGTGTAAAACATTATTCTATGCCCAATTTCTGCCATCATTCTTTCCAGGTTTCCCAACAATTTTTTTTTTACCAAATAATGAATAATTATTCCCAAATCTGCAGTTTTTATATTTGTCAAATTGAAGGTTACTCCATATATTTGCTGCTTCCTGTTGCCAAATTCTACATTTTAAGAAGTTATTTTTCTTAATTAAGTTTTTGGATATGTTTTTCTAATGAGTTGACTTTCTTTTCATAATTTTCTTGATTTCAGAGACTACTCTTCTTTTTTCCCCCTAATTTTTCCTCAGTTCCTCATTTGATTTTTGAAGCCTTACGTTCTTGCACAGACTTTTGGGGCTTCTGACCACTTGAAATTTCTCTTTGAAATAGGAGTGATTCAATTTAAGGAATTTTCTTCCTCTAAGAATGAACCCAGACCTTTATCTCCAGCTACTTGACTGATGGTAAATTATTTAACTTGAAAAAGCTGAAAGCCAAGACCAAAGTGGATAGAATTGGTGCAGGCTTCAAGAAACACTCAAACTTCTGAGGCTGAGATGCATCAGAGTGTGGATCCATTCTCTGTGTCACGCTAATTTTAATCTTAAAATTAACACCAAGAAAAAAGAGAAAACGGTCCTTACCCAGGGACAGCAGGTTCTGGACATTCTCCAGCATGACCCTCCTTGTACAGCTCTTTCTGAGAATGGTCCAAGAGATACCACTCCTCCTCAGTGAAGTCCACAACCACATCCTTGAATGTCACCAACTCCTAAACCATGAAGTCACATCATTTAGAGCTGAAAGAGAACTCCAGAATTCATCTAGTCCAACCCTCTTCAACTTAGAGGAGGAAACTGAAGCAAAGAGAAGGGATATTTCCCTAAAATTCATAACCTTTACAAGTATCACAGCCAACACTTGAAATCAGTCATTAAGAACCCAATGAAATATGGAGAAAACCATTTTACATTTGAAGTGGAGTGTTGGAGTAATAAAAGCTTGAAAAATGTCTTGCTATAAAATGCTTCTTCTAATGGAATTAGGGAGAAGTTAAGTACTCTATCAGTGAGGTATCAAAATCTGGAGAGAAAATGATGTGAAATTCCTCCCTACCAGCAGTGTCCTATGTGACAAATTAAGACAATTCTATGAGGAGTTTGCAGGAGAACCTGACATGTAATGTGTATTCTGCCTTTGTGTGTGGTGGGGGGGGGAATTGAACAGTGATCATTGCGGAAAGAACAAAGAAAAAGGAATGATCTAGTAAATTTCTTAAAAGTCTGAAATAAAGTCTTAGATAGATGAAAGTATCAAAAGAATTCTAAAGAGATATGCTCACAATTTAACCTCGACTGAATGGTGTAACACTATATCCAGCCCAATGAAGAAGTGTTCTCTCTTCTTCAACTGAGGGATTGAGAAGACACTGTGTATGATGTGTCTTGGTCAGAAACAGCTGCTGCCATTGCTTTATGATTGTTTGCGGTTGGTCATGGAATGCACTCATTTTTATATTTAAGAACAGAGAACAAAGTATTCTGGGGGAAAGGAGGGTTCCTTCATTCAGTAAAAATGTATTATTTTGTGAGCTGAGGTCTGGGATTGAGTTAACGAATGAGAAAGACACTGGTACTGTTTAAGAAAAATAAATTATTTCAGCATGTCACTAAAATGAGAACATTGGGGATCAGGAATGAAGAGGAGTCCAGAGGCAGATGGATGGATAGCAATCACACAATACAGGGCGACATCTGGCAATCCTTTGATGTTTGGGAGGGCTCAGCAATCTCTCCAACCTGCTACACGTAGAATACGTTTAACCAATGCACATGGCTTTTGAGGCTCTTCCATTCCTAGAAGTTTGAGTCACTTTTTCAGTTTTTCTATTATTTCAGAGCAATTCTCTTTCATGTAGAAAGAGTTCTCTGCTTTTTTTGTCATTTTGATTTTCATTTAAACCATCTGGATTTATCTTCTATTTCTAATCTCTATTTTATTATAGCTTTCTTTTTTCTATTATTGATCTTCTGAGCAATTAAAGTATTAAAGTTTTCCTAAATTTTAGATTCCCCAAAACAGGGTAAAGCTTCCTTGGCTCTCTTGGCTTCCAAGTTTGCTGAGGACAGTCAGGTCTGTGGATGGACTGCACTCACCTGGGATGAGGGGCTCTGGGTCACAGGGGCCATGTTCTCTTGCTCTAGGTTCTCTCCTAGGGATAGGCTTTGGTCTTCCACAAGCTGACGTTATGGAACAGATGCCTCCATTTATGCTGGGCCTACACCAATTCTGCATTTCCAATGCTATTTACTGCTTACTTCCCCCAGCCACTATTATGGCCCCTAGGCCTGAACTAGCTCCTGCTTCTATTCCCATCACAATCTTCTGGAGGAACCGTGTTTCTATTGGGTGGCAGCCTCGCCTGGACCACAAGAGAAGAAGAGTCCCCACCACCTGGGCACAGTAGGCTAGAAGCCCCAGATTGGCCCCTGTCTGTGGCTCATGAATGGAAGGGGAAGAAGGGAGGGAAGGCTCCCTGTGGCTGAGGCATGTGCTTCAGGCCTTGGCCTTTGCTCTCTTCAGTTTGGGCAGGGAGCCCTGCCCATTCAGGTATGGCTTCCAGAAAACCTAGTCATAGCCTTGTTCAGAACTCACAGATCTAAAAGGAGCTCCCTGGCTCTGAGCCATGGAAGGCTGGTGGTATCCTTGAGGACCATTGGGTGGTGCAGTGGATGCAGCTTTTTGTTTGGGACTTTCCCTGTGAATGGGAGGAATCATAACTTCCTGATGGTAGAGTTAATTGAAGTGCTTTAAAGATGGGGAGATGAGGGGATTTCATACTTTGAGTCAGCACTTCAGTAGATAGAATGCTAAGAACCACCATTTTGGGTTTTCTGGGCAAAGACACTGGGACAGTTTGCCATTTACTTCTCCAGATCATTTTGCAGATGAGGAAACTGAGGTAAACAGGGTTAAGAGACTTGCCCAAGGTCCCATAACTAGCAAGTGGTCTGCCAGTTGATTTGAACTCAGGTAGATGGGCCTTCCACACCAGGGGCTCTGTCCCCTTCTCCATCAATTTGACCAGCTAAAAAGAAGACCTGAGTTCAAATTCCACCAAATCACTGTTATCTTCACTCTGGGCAAATTACTTGAAATTCCTCTGGAATAATATGGCTGTGTATGAAGACAGATGAGACATTGAAGAAAGCGGAGCCTTTTGCCAGAGAAAGTAAGTCTGGGTCTCAGGAACCCTCTCCCCCACCCCTGCTCTCCATGGCCCCACAGCTATCTGCCCTCCCTACCCCCCCTCCCAGCCTCCTTAGGTAGTAGACCGCCTCAAGAAGAAGAAGAATAGAAGCATTTTTCAGAATTCTTTGAGTCTTGTGTCCTCCTCTCCAAGAATCCTTCTCCCTTCCTCCCTTGAGAAAACTCTTCAGAGACCTGCCCCCTGCCCCCACCATAGGGGGCTTCCTGGTAGTGTGGGAGGGGCAAGAACACTGCTTTTATTTTTTAGGCAATTGGGGTTAAGTGACTTGCCCAGGGTCACACAGCTAGTAAGTGTGAGGTGTTTGGTCTGAGGCCGGATTTGAATTCAGGTCCTCCTGACTTCAGGGCCGGTGCTCTATCCACTGTGCCTCCTAGCTGCCCCCAAGAACACTGCTTTTAAAATCAGGACCTGGTTTCCAATCCAGCTTCCCAGGTGCCACTACTACACTCCTTACAATGCTTTCTTTACATGTGTGATCCCTTTTGATAATCACAACAGTCCTTCCAGGTAGGGCCTCTTATCCTCATTTCAAGAGGAGGAAACTGAGGCTGAGAGGTGCAGTAATTTTCCCAGAGTCTTAGCTAGGACAAATCAGAGTGAAGACCCTTAACTCGGGTCTAACTGACTCCAGGCCTGGGGCTTTACCACTAAGTCTTGGCAGCTAAGTCAGTGAACCTCAGGGATATCTAGAGTTGGAAGGATGACAGAAAATGATCTTGGAATTCCCTACTGGCTGTAAATCTATGCCCCAGGCTGGAATCCTGGCTGTTCCTTAATGCCCCTGTGACCCTGGGCCAGTCACTGACCTCTCTGAGCCTTGTTCCTCCAGGCAAAAGGAGGGCTTGGAGCTCTGAGGACCCTCCTGGCTCTAGCCCCTGGTCCTCTGAGAGCTGGCCCCTTGAAAAGTGGACTCCAGCCTGTGAAACCATCTCCATCCCCACTTAGCTTCCTGGTTCCCTGCTACTCTCCTACCTTGGTCATCACCCCAGCCCATGCTGGGGTACAGAATGAATCCTTCAAACACATTATGGGGACCTGAATGAATCCTCATCCAACCACAAACTTTCCTCCTAGCTCCAATCTTTTTAATCTCTACTCCTCTGTGCTCTGCCCAGCTCTCAGGGACTTTTTCTGGCCTCGTAGTCATTCTCTTATCTAGTCTTAAATAGACATGAATTACTTTCCTCCCAGCTCTGGCCTATGTTTGAAAAGTCTTCCAAGAAGTCTTGTTGGCATTCCCACAGTGCCTGGCACATAGTAGTTGCTTTTTTGTTGCAGTTTTAGAGGTTTTCAGTTGTGTCTCACTCTTTGGGAGTCCCTTTGGGGACTTCTTGGAAAAAATGCTAGAGTGATTTGCCATCTCCTCTAGCTCCTTTTTACAGATGATGAAACTGAGGCAAATAGGATTGAATGACATACCCAGGGTGACACAGCTAGTGTCTGAGATTGGAATATGAATTTAGGTCTTCCTGACTCCAGACCAGGCACTCTGTCCAGTGATTGGCTTATTGACTGAGGGAGGCAGGGAAGTAGATGGTCTCTGAGATTTCTCCTTAATCTAAGTACCTAGGAGCCTAGATGATGTGACTCCTTTCTGCTCCTCCTCAGCTTTATTCCTAAGTGCCCATTGGGCAGGGACTGGGTTCCCCAGAGCCAGGAAATTTGTGGCTACCTCTTAAATGACTGGGGGCCTGGAACTTGGTTCTCAATTCCTTTAACCTCTCCTGATGAATGGTCATTTATTCAGCTCTTAATTAATTCATGCCAGGATTTGTAATAAGTTCTATAGGCTGTAAGAGTAGAGGGTAGATCTGCCCTCCATTAACCCATCTAATTACAGGTGCCAGCCTTCTCCCATCTCTGACCCTTCTTCCATTCACTTGCATTAGCATTTGTTTTTGCTTTATTCCCTGCCTCCACTACTGGTTTCTCAGTTTTCCCTCCCACCTTTTTCTGGGCCTTCATTCCTCCACCCTTTACCTTCCACTCTTCTTTTTCTCCCCCCCCCCCGCACATTCTCTTAATCTTGGATAGAGCAGGAGGGCTGTTGGGGCTCCTGCTGGCCATTGAGACCTCCCCAGCTATTCCTTTGGTACCCCCAAGTTCTACCAAGTCTTGTTAGTGGAGATGGCATCCATGGGCTGGTCATGTTGTTCAAATGCCAAAAGGATGTTTGCCTAAAAGACTATTTTACAGAGAATGCACACAAAGAAGGTGCTCACCAGGTGGTCAGAAAAAGTGATACAAGGGCATTCTCTAAAGAGCCATGGGAGACAATGCCAAAGGACCGCCCAGCATGGCCTGCCTACATCAAAGAATGTGCTCTGCTGGGCTGTGTGAGCAAAGCAGAATGGCAGCAGCTCAACAGAATGGCGAGATGTGCAGCCTAAATGTTCACATGCACTATTTGTGCCCAACCTGGGGTGGAGCCTTCTGGGTCTAGTAGTCTGATCATCCATGGTCAGACACGCTTTGACCCTGACGTAGTGATGTCATTTTGGTCCTCTTTGAGCAAAATGAACAACAAAAATGACCAACTGTGGAAACCACATATTTTAATAAAAAATGTCATTGATGAATGAAAACCATCATAAATTGAAAGTATAAGATATTTTGGCTATGATACATCGTACCCAGGGCAGCCTCAAGCCCTCAGTGCAACAACAGATAACTCTCTTTCAGTTGTCTGGAAAGTCTCATAATCCTAAATTCAGTCCAGATTGTAATTAGTATGTCTCTAGAATCCTTTTCATGTTTTATCTACATGAGACTTTATTGTAGCTTCTCAGGAAATAAACTAGATCTTTTTTTTGTCCTCTCTTGTGTATTCATACAAATTCAGCCCCTTTCCCAAATACACTGTACTTGTCAACTTCTCACAAACTCCTTGCAATTTTTTTTTATAATATATTGCTTGTATTAGTTCTGAGAAAGCAGAAATTTCAGATCATCTTCTATCTGTCTCTTCCACAGAATCTCCTACCTCACAGTTAAAACACATACTTTGTCCCAGATTCCACAGTGAGACACATTCCATAGTAAGACCTTCCTCAACTTTATTGCAACTGACCATATGAAATACTTTTCTCAACATTCCATTGGGCTCTTGATGATGATGGTTTCAAGTGTTGACTCTGACACTCCTCAAGGGTACAACCTTTGGGTAAACACCTTTCTGCCCTTCAGTTTCCTCCTCTCACGTGATGAGAGTAGAGTGCAGGAATTCTGGAGTCTCTTTCAGATCTAAATCTTGTCACTTTTGATGGTTTAGGAGCTGGTGACATACAAGGATGTGGCTGTGGACTTCACCCAGGAGCAGTGGAGCTTCTTGGACCATCCTCAGGAGTTGTACAAGGAGGTCATGCTGGAGAATGCCCAGAACCTGCTCTCCCTGGGTAAGGACACTTCCCCTGGCCACTCTGAGTCTGCAATGCAAGGGAATATCTTCATTCTTGAGTGGGCTGGGTTTGGAATCATTTAGCAGTTACTGAAGTTACTGAAAGTGAAAAGTGCTGGTCTCCTGTGTCCAAGAGACAGGATGGGTCCCCTGCTGCCTGGTTTTCCTAGAAAAGGTCAGTACACTGTGTGAAGAGAACATGGAGGTTTCCTGGTTGCTCCTCAAGCTGTCTCTTGCCAATTCTAGGTAGCTTGAGGTCAAAGATCAGATCACTGTTGAAGCATCTCAGGTGTGGAAGTAATCCCACTTTACATAGTCCAGCCTCTCCCTAGATGTGAGTTTTGTCTTCCAAGTCTCTGGAAACTGCTGAGGTGCCTTTTCCTTGTGACCCCTTCCTCTTTGGGATGGCCCTACCGTATGGAACATTCTTCTTCAGAAGCCTCAATTTATAGCTCCTACATGTGCCTGGTATGGCAGGTTTGTCCTGAATCTTCCTCTACAGTGCCCTCATTCCAGCACAGATGGTGGGAAAGACAGGAAGGGAATAAACATTTCCATCATTTCATCTTTTTGTTTTGTTTTTTTTTTTTTGGTTAGGCAATGGGGTTAAGTGACTTGCGCAGAGTCACACATCTAGGAAGTGTTTTATGTCTGAGACTGGAGGGAATAAGTGTTTCTATTCACCTGCTGTTCACCAGCTGTTGTGCTAAGTGATTCCTTTACAATAGTCTGTCATTAGGTGACGTTATTATCCCCATTTGACAGTTGAGTAAAGTGAAGCAAGTAAAGGTTAAGTGACTTTTCCAGAGGCACAGCTAGTAACTGCCTGAGGCTGGATTTAAACCCTGGCATCCCTGACTCCAGGCCCAGGGCTCTCTCTACTGCACTGCCAGATGCCTCTAATTTCTAGATAATGAAGAACTTTGCAATGAGTCCATCTTTCTATGAAGAAGGTGTGCCAGTACCAAATTCTCTGATTCCTAATTGGCTCCATGATCTTCTCCCCCACCTCTCCCCAAAGCTCCCAAAAATAAATGCTATGGAAACCTTGCTTAAGGAGTCCTGGGAACTGTCCTATGCTCCTTGTTTGCAAGCTCCTGTCAATGGCAGGAATAACAGACTGGCCAAGAATCAGAACTTGGACTAAGGTTCATTGAGCTCCCCAGCAGGAGAATCCCACCAGAAGAGTCAAAGACTCCCTGAATGAACAGTCCCAAGGTTTTTATAGGTTTCAGGGAATGAGGAGCAGGGTAGGAGACAGGTCTAAATCTGATTTTTCAAGGTTCCTTTTGCTGGAGCTCAAGGCTGATCTGGCACATCCTATTTTGGGTTACTTACATTATAAGCATTAATGGGAGAAGAAGCCAGATATGTGTGAACATGATGGAATGATTCTCAGAATGCATTATCTTTGTATTCACACTATTTTCCTTTAAGAAATCTAAATTACAAGTTTTCACTGTCCTCATCCCTGATCCCCACGCCCAGGGCAGCCAGTTGCCAGAGAAGATTTGATCTATTATTTTGAGGAAAGGGAAGCACCATGGATGCTGGAGGTAGAAGGCCGGAGGAGCTGCTGCCGAGGTGAGTGAGGTGAAAGCGGAAGGATGAGAGCTGTGATTACAAGAGGCTTCTAGGTGTGGAGGTGAAGCAAGTTCTAGGTTTGGAGGATAGAAGACCTGACTTGGAATTTTTTTTAGACACTTTTTAGCAATGGGATCCTGGAAAAGTTATGGAACCTCTGAATCTGTTTCATCATGTGTAAAATTGGGGAGTTGGACACTTGAAGCTTTCTTCCAGTGATAAATCTGCGATCCTATAAAAACTCATTGTTTAGAATTTGGAGGCAGGGGCTCTTCTGAAAATGCAAAAAGAGGTTAGGCTTTCCAATTTGAGTTCTTTCTTAGACTTTCTTCAAGTCAATGAACATTTATTAAGTGCCAGCTATTTGCCAGACCCTCTGCTAAGAATCCAAGATATAAAGAGACACTGCTCTCCCCTAAGCTCAGAACCTGGGGTGGGGGTAGCTTGGGGCAGATGACATACCAACAACTATGTAGAATTCTTCTATGCACAGGAGCTCACTGAGTGAGGTTCACTGGAAAGGCTTATTGTGGAAGGAGAGCTGCCACGAGCACCTGTGTCCGCAGCCATGGTCTGATGCTGGCAGAGTGTGAAGATAGAAAGAAACACGGGCCAGGTGAGAGCAGTGAAGAACAAACTCTGTTTATTGATCTGAGGGCTCAGGCTTACATAGTACTGGATCAAGAAATAGTAACATTATTTTCCATAAAAAGCACAAACCTAATTAAGTGACTTCCTTACTTCCTTGTACCTGGTCTGTTACTTTCTTTTCCGAGTCCTGTCCTGTACCCTTCCTGTTTCCTCCCTTCCTGTATCCTGTTCTCAAGAGATGGAACAGAGGGGTGGTGAGCCCACATCCTGAGTTTCACAGCTGTTGGGCTTAGTATAGGTAAGACGCGGGCTGGCCTATGCCGTCCAGCTCCCCAAAGCCGGCCCTCTACAGAGGGCTCCAGCTGGGGCTTCAGGGAAGCCAGGGTGAGCATTCTAGGCACAGGGATGGTGAGGACAGCCTGTAGAGTCAGGTGATGGAGTGTCCTGTTCACAGAAGAGAAGGGAGGCCCGTAGCACTGGAGTATAGCATGTTTGGTGGAGATATAAGATGAAAGAAGATTGGAAGAGTGGGAGAGGGGTAGGTAAAGAAGGGGTAGGTGATTAATAGCCCTAGAGGGGATTTTATGTTTGATCCTTTTCCTAGGGAGATATAGCAGGTTGTTGAGTACATGGGGATCATGTTCAGTCAAAACTTTAGGAAGATGAACTTTGAGAAGTGAGTGGAGGAATGAGTGGAGTGGGGGGAGACTTGTGGCAGCTGGGCCAAGCAGCAGGTTCTGGCAGTACCTCAGGTGTGAGGTGTTTGGGGCCTGAACCAAGACAGCGGCAGTGTTGGGAGAGAAGAGGGTGCATGGGAGAGAAGTTACCTAGGTGGAATCACAGAACTTTGCAAGAGATTGAATATGGGGTTCAGGAGTGTAAATGTATGAGAGTCATTGAGGGGTGCATGACACCTCATTTGTGAGTCAGCACTATTGAGAGGATGCCTTGGACAGCCTTAGGCAGGTAGGAGGGCTGAGGAAAAAAGGAGGAGTTTAGTTTGGATACAGTAGGAGAACCAGGAGAGGAATGTCACTGAAACTCAGAGAGAGAGAGGAAAGGGTGATTGACTGTGTCTAAGGCTGCAGAAAAGTCAAAAAAGGATGAGGATGAAGAAATGACCAGTCGATTTAGCAACTTTTGAGAGTTTTGGTAATTTTGGAGAGGAGTTTCCATTGAAGAATGAAACTGGGAACTAGACTGCAGAGTATTTCAGAGAAAGCAAAAGCAAGGAGTTGGAGACAGCAGTCGTAAACGGGCCTGTCCAGCTTTTTAGTCATGACATGGAAGAAAGAAATTAGAATATATCTCTTGGATTAAATGGATCAAGTGACTATATTTTGAGGATTAGAGAGAAAAGGTATTATTTGCGGCAATAGGGAAGGAGATATTAGTGTTGGAGAGAGTGAAAAGTAGTGAAAAAAAGGCAACACTGGAGAGGCAGTATGCCTGCAAGATGGTGTGATGAATGGGATGATTTACACATGGAAAGGAGTTTTCTTTAGGAAGCAGGGGGAAGCTTTTATCTGATACTGGTGTCATAAAGGGAAAAAAAGCGCTTGATTTATGGGAGATGAAGATAAGGTAGCTCTTGTTAAGTATCCAATTTTTTCAATAAAATATGAGGCAAATTTCCCTGCTGAGGAGGTGGGTGGTGGGTGTAGAGAGTGGGGGTGAGAAATAAGGGAGGGTTGGGGAAGAATAAAAAGAATTGGAAAAGCTGTTGTTGTAAATGCAACAGGGAGTCAGTCATGTGATGGTTCAGTCATTTCAGTTGTATCTGACTCTTCATGACCTAGTTTGGGGTTTTGTTGGTAAGGATGCTGGAGTGGTTTGCCATTTCCTTTTCAGGCTCCTGTTGCCCATGAGTTAACTGAGGCCATCTGGCCTAAGTGACTTGTCCAGGGTCACACAGTTAGTAAGTGTCTGTGGCTGGATTTGAACTCAAGTCTTCCTGACCAGTATTTGATCCACCGCACCATATAGCTGTCCCAAGGAAGTCAGTTATGGAGATGTCAAAAGATGGCCTTAGCACAGTAAGGGCCACATTGAGGTTGTATAGCCTGAATATGAAGTGAACCTAGGAATCCTGGTTCTAAGTATCCAAGTAGTCACAAAGTAGAATTAACCCAAGGCTATGATTTATGTAAACCTTCTACCTGTGTCCCTCCCCTGGTCTCTGAGGCTCAATCTTTGGCCAATTCTTGGAGAATCATTGGTCAGATTCATTGAGTTGACAGTCACTCTCAGTTTGGGGTAGTGGCAAGTGGAAACTCCCAGGTGTCCCATAGTATAAGATGCTTCAGGAGCCTAGAAAGAGGTCTCTGTGATCTTTACTGTGGATCTAGTCAGGTTCCAACATTGTTAGAATTAGACAAAAAGGCCACTCAATATAGGAGATAAAGTGCAGGAAAGAGATAAGAACAAGCCTGAAACCAGAACCTGCATTTGCCAAGTACAACAGAGACCAGAATATAGGGCTTGAGGTACAGCCTGGAGCTTGGTGTCAGCCCTGGGCCTAGGCATCAGTCAGCAAGCATGGATGAATAGCTCCAGTTTTCTAAGTACCTCACTGAGCTTTATGAAGGGAAAAGGCAGTCCCTGCTGTCAAGGAGCTGCCAACGGCCTACAAACATGGAGGTGGTTGAGAACAGATCAGGTGCCTTTAGAAAAGTGGGTGTTACTAACAGGTACCAATCAAGTCTAATTGGTTAAAAATTACTGAGAATGAATATTATTAGCAGAGGTGGACTTACTCTAATGAGTAGCTGATGGACTGGACTCATTACTCAATTTTGGACAGATAGCCTTTCTCTTCCCAGACCACCCATGCCTCGGGAAATCTAGAAAAAAAGGGGAATCTACTTCCCCTCAGACCTTTCTGACTAAAACACAATGGACCAGCATTTACCCCAAGACTAAAATCTCTTTACCTTTTGGTTAGATCTACACTTTCTCAGTTGCGTAAGTCTCTCCCAAGATTTCATCTCTTCATCAGCCCTGCCCTTTAGAGACAGGCTGAATCACCTACAGGGGCTGATTCTTGAATGAAAATAGAAACTGCGGGGTACAGAGCTGAGGCCTAAATCAATAAGTGGTTATTAATATGAGAAAAATTATAAGTGATCTCACATCAGAGAATCCGTTCTAGAGGATATACCTTGTTAATATAATCAATACAAAAAAGCATTTAGGCTAAAGTCATATCTTATTTCCCATTGGAGAATTGCCATGAGGTTGAATTCGTATTCCTATAATGAATGTGGAAAGACATTCAGATGGTCTATAGAGCTTGTTAGACTCCAGAAAAAATCATCTTAGGAACAAGCCGTACAAGGATTCAATGTGGGAATGCCTTCAGCAGAGATCTCCTGTTTCTTTACATCAGGGATTTATGGTGGAGAGGAGACTTATGAATGTGCTCAGTGAGGACCTGCCTTTCCCTGGAAGATGCAGGTCACTCAACATCACAATATTTACACTGGAAGGAATCCTTATAAAAGCAATAATTGTGGGAAGGCCTTCAACTGGAGCTCATACATGTGTGTATATTGGAGAAATCATCTTGGAGATAAATCTGATGGATTTGATTAATGACAGAAGACCTTTGCCTGTAGCACAGATCTCATGAGACTTCACAAATCTCTTATCTCTCCTTGCTATTGTCTGGAATTCTGCATTCATTTGGGTATATGTTTTCCCTTTTCCTTTCCTTAGCTATTTCTAAGGCCTCATTAGACAGCCATTATGCTTTCTTGCTCTTCTTTTTCTTTTGAATATTTTTTGTTGCTGCCTTCTGTACATTATTGCAAACCTCTGTCCACAGTTCTTCAGTCACTCTATCAGCTCTAATCCCCTAAATCTATTCATCACTTCCACTTCATATCCATAAGCAATGCTGTTTAGGGCATATCCAATAAAACCTTATATTTACTATTTCCTGTAAGAGTTCGATGTAAATTTCTTTATTTAACAAATGTTTGAATAATATTTTTAATCAAATAAGTTACAACTTGGAAGGTGTTGAACATAATGTAATACATGAAATTAATTCAAAGTTGGGCTTTTTTCTCTGAACAAAAGGTTGTGGTATTTGCTTCAACACCTGACAAATGCCGTCTTTGATTTGGTTTTTCATCAAGTTAATTTAATAGAATACTAACAACAAAACAATAATAATTAGCATTTATATAGTGCCTAGTTACTGGGCTTAGTGATTTATAGACATTATCTCATTTAATTCTCACCACAATGTTAAAGGGAGGTACTGTTATCTCCATTTTACTGTAGAGGGAACAGAGGCAAGCAGAGGTTGTGACTTGCAGAGTGCTGGCAAGTGTCTAAAAAGAAATCTGAACTAAGATCTTCCTGACTGCTTAGTCCAAGTATATCTATATATATACATATATAGTCCAACTATATAAATGTATATTTCTATAAATTTATAAAGTCCAGGTGTATCCATGCAATGCATTACCAGCTGTGTTTTGATTTATAACCAGCATGCAGTGAATATGCTCCCTTGTACCTGGATGTGACAGGAGAACTTGCATAATCTATTGTTCAGAGATAGAAATTCATTCTTTTTAGTCCCCAAGCCTGGCAACAAAACAAATGGGGAGCCGACACATAAAAGATCTTTTTTTCTATTCGCAAATAATAAGTCGTGTATTAAGTAGATAAGACAATATTTGTAAGGCAAGACCTCTTCTTACCTCACTTTCTTCTTTGTGCTACACCGACCACACTCTCAGAGCAAGCACGGAATGAGTGACCTGTGCTGCCATCCAGTTCCTTTGCAAATCCACAGGATAGACGGAGGGTAACATAAATCAAAAATAAGTTCAAATCAGAAAGTAGGTTTAATACTACAATGCGAGGCAAGGTAAGGGCTGTTTTCATAGAATGTTTTTGATGGCACGCAGTGGTTTCAAGATGGTTTGTAAAGTGTGTACCTCGTGATCATGTTTTTCAATGAGCTTTCCACCTGTACTGGAAGAATGCAAACATTTTTAACATCTTATGTGGTGATTACCAGGCTGATGGGATGAGATTACAAGGTAATCTTGGCATGTGGCCATTGCTTTGGTGCAGTGTATAGAAAGTAAATGAGGATATGCGCATACCTGGATCCATCTATTGGGAAGGTTTGCACTTGCATGTCAAACCTTTCTGGCAGTTTGGAAACAATTTGATCTCAGGTTGAGAAACCAAAAGAATTTGTTGCACTTAGAAGTGATCAGAGTTTAGTATCATCACTTCATGAACACCAAAATCACTCTATGCCTGATGATGACAGATTGGAATCACTGAAGATAAATTTTGAAAAGTAAATGGATAATGGCTGTCCTAAAGAAGTGATGCTCCAAAACAGTACCTATTATACCCCAGGGAAATGGAAAAAATGTTTGGCAGTCATGATGGGGTCTCAGACATGGCAACAGAAAAAAAAAAGTTTAAAAGGGTTCTCCAGGGAAATTATTATGCCAGTATGACCTCATTTGTAAGCATAAAGTACATAAGCAATATAAGCACAGGCAGGAAAATAATATGACCAACAAAAAAATGATCCCAATTGTTAGTATTTTCTTCCATCTCACCCCTGGGGAGGTGAAGGAAGAATGAATGGCATTTGAAATTAATGGGCGAGCTGAATTTCTAAACTTGGTTCAGAGACACGTAAACATGGCTTGGGAAGTTTTACAACATATTGGGGTGACAGAGAACAGGATCTGAACAATTTGATTTTCTCAATCCACCTTGTTTTGTCAAGGGGAGACTTGTACAGTGATGACCATCAACCTACTCCCACTGTACATTTAACTGGTAAACTTTATCTTGGAATCCAGATGTCCCATGTCGTAGTCTGGTCTCTGGAACATCTTTTCTTGGCGCCGTCTAGAGAATGTCTTGTCATCAGGGCAAACCTTTGCTAGAATTGTTGTTCTAGTTCCAGGTTGAAGGCACTCCTTAGATATTCTTGCTAAAATCTTTTGCAAAACAGATCTTGATACAAATTAGTATAGGCTGTCAAATTTGCTTCTTAAATAACTAATTCATGCTGTGGAAACCAGCTCAAATTTTAGAGTTTTGATCTTAACAACAGATCTATAAATGGAAACATCCAAGTAGGAATCCAAAGTTTGCTTGAAGCTTCAGAAAATTTAGGTTGTTTTTTTTTCACATGCCCCATTAAAATCATTTGGTTTTGACATACAGCATTGTCTGATCTTGTCACTTTGTCAAAAGTTTCCACTCTGATTCCAATTCCTTTAGGAGGATCAGATGTTATGAGGATTCAATCCTATACATGAAAATTTAAGTAACAACATTCTTGTGGGTAGAAGCTTTCCACCTCTGGGTTCAATAGTTATACAAATGAATTTGCTTATAAGAGGCTGGCTTTATTCCAATTATAATAAAATAATTGGGAGGATATTTAACTCCAAAATAGTACATATCAATAAGTTGCTTATAATAAAACATGTTTGTACTACAGGACATGCAGTATAAACAGGTGTTATTTCCACATTAGTAGTAAACTTGATGAAATTGACTTTTCCATTAATGTAACACAAAATATTCCATGAGTTATATCCCTCTAAGAAAACTGATTGCGCTGAAATTCACTTCCACAAAGCAAACTGAAGATGTTTCTGATTTAATTTCAGTAATTAATAGAATAACAGCTAGGTTCCTCAATCAGTTGTGCCAATACCCAATTAATCTTACATCATTTTGAAACATTTAAGGACCTTATTTTATCTTTGCCTAATTATTCCCATACTATGCTGAAAGAATGAACTATTTCAGGGATTCAATTTTATATAAGACTGTGTATGCATTAGCAGGCTGATGACAAGATCAAGAACAAATTTACCTCATAGTTTTGGAATATGGAATTATTACATATTCACATTGAAAACAGCAAGATCTCACCTACTTGCATTGTGCTCTTTTACTGCCCATTTACTCTGACTATAGAAATTTGCTATGAAAGCAAGAAGTAGGGTCATAATTATACCAGCATCAAACTGATCCTTCAGGCTTAAACCTAAGGGCACATATATGGTAGGATAAAGCATCCTGAGCTATGTTTGATTTCAGTGAAGTGTCACAGTTTTGCAACCAACCATGTCAATTCCACCTCATAACCAGACTCAGGAATAGGCAATTGGGAAACATTCCTTTTCAAAGGAACACAATGGGGAAACTGAGCCAGGAAGTTCCCACTTTTGGCTAATGTCAAAGTTGTCCTCTAGGCTTTTCCCAGATGCAAACCTCCTATAACAGTCCCAAATCACATTCCCTCTGAGTACCTTGTGGCATTTCTCTGAAATGGTGGATTACTATTTAATGAGAGATAACTACACCTAAATTCAAACCTTAAAATGAAATCAGTTACGTTCTCAAGATCTTTTACCTCAAATAGCAAGTCTCATTAATCACAGCTTAGGGCTAGATACAATTATTTTTATTCTCATGGAGCTGCAAGAAACAATAAAATACTTACCAGTACTCACATAAGAGATTTCATGAACATATTTCACTTGTTTTAATTTTTGTCTCAAATTTAAATTTGTCCTGATATAAAAGCCAATCATTAGAAATCATTTCTGTGTTTTACATAACCTTGCAAATTCTCAGCAAGCCGTGTTCATTGTTTAGGAACTCCATAACCCAAACAAGCTCTTTTCCCAGGGCTGATGACCTTGCCCACACAGATGGTTTCCAGGGACTTGGCAAGTTTACAAAATAAGAGGGATTGATGCAGACCCAGAGGCGGGGCTGGTCTTCATGCTCTTGCCTATCCATGATATATTCTTCCTCCATGCTGAGCTGATGTAAACCACACACTCTCTGGGTGGCAAGTCCCCTATTTTTAGTCTTAATTAAGCTTCTTTTACCATGACTGAATTTCCCTCCTATCCTTCTATGGCTACCCACTTGCCAGGATGTCTTTAAGGGTTCCTATATAGTATACAAGAGTGGAAATAGTTTCTTTTTAGGACCCCAACTATATGGTAGTGGGCATGTGGGGTCTCTGATCACTCCCCATTGCCATAGGGAGGCTGCCTTGGCCATCTTCCTAAGGGAGGAGAGTCAGGCGTATCCACCTCATTTACCCTTAGAGCTGCTGTCAGCTGTGCTCTTTGACATCATCTCCCCTCTTCTCTAATACTAATAACACTAATACTAATAATACTACCTAATAAAAATAATAACTAATAATACTAACTAATAATAATAATAATTAACATTTAGAATGTTTGCCCTCCATCAGGCATTGTGTTAGGCACTAAAGTGCCTCATGTGAAAAAAAAAAGGTAACACTCAAGTGAAGTCAACTTAAGATCAAGTCAACAAATTTCAGATCTGTGTGTTTTCCCAATTTATCTTAATGGGCTGAATGAAGTTGACTTGCACAGGGTCAAAAAGCCAAGGAAGTGATGGTTTGCTTTGGAAACATGTTCATCAAGCTTCCCCAACCATGGACAAAGGATATGATTCAGAGAGATCAGGAGCACCTGGATGAGGAGATGGAGAAACTCTGGGAACAGCTGAAAGGGAAGGTCAGCCACCTCTTGGAAGGCCACCTGGTGCAACTACCCCCAGGCAGAACTTTCTGTCCTTACAGGGGCTTGGTTGGAAGGGAGAACAACTCAATCTCTAACCAAAAGCTGGAGGCAGGGAGACAGGATCCCTGCATCCTTGTGGGTAAGGTTTGAATTTTGGGAAAGTGTGACCAATCTTAAATCTGAAGAGTGACTCTGAACATTTGGGAAGTGATTGGGAGTCTGCAAAAGAGAGCAGCTTAAAGCTTGTGCAGTAGCCAGGCCTGGGCAGGAAGATTGCTCCAGGCAGACCTGGAGGGCACTCACCACATGGTCTGAGAAGGAGGATGAAATCCAAGGGCCTGAACAGGCAGCAGGTCTGTGAGGGGCTGGCTCAGACCTAAGTGGGATCTGCCCCACAGAGCTGGTGTCCTGAAGGCAGAGATCTCAGGTCCAAGAGAAGGCAGCAGTTACTTCAGCTACTAGGGAGGAAGGCAGGGAGATCCTAATTCCAAGGGCAGAGAGATCTCAGCACAAGTTCCTGTTTTCAGCCAGCCCACTCCGGGAGGGTCCTCCAGACTCTGCCCAGCCTCTGAGGCCCCCAGGAAGGGCCCTTTCCTCCAATCACACCCAGGGCCAGGAGCTCAGAACCCTATCTCCCTCTCCTCCCCAAACCCTGCCCTCCATCACCTGCAACGCCTTGGCCACTGGGATGAGCCCTCTCCTGCCCTAGGCCCCTCCCAGGCCTCCAAACTCCACCCCAGAGCTCTTTTTCACCTGGGCCACCACCCACCAGGCTGGTCATCTCTGAAAGCTCCTCCTCCTCCATCTCTCTGCCACCTGATTTCTTACTGGAGGCAAGATTCAAGACTTTAGGAGGTGGGAGGGGAAACCTGGGAAGGAAGAGGCAACCTGGAGATTTCCAGGCAAGTGATTCATAGCCAGACAAGCTTAGTTTGAGAATGCAGAAATCTTGGAACTGTAATTTCAATCAACATTTTGACATTTATCTTATTGTATTTGCAATCTATCCTATTAAGAAATTCCTTTCTCACATCATGGCTAAACATATACGGAGACTGTAATTATTGTTGACACAGGTGTCCTGAGTTGGGACTGCTCTAAGTGTAGAAAGGGTCTCCTTCAGCTTGCTTACCTCAGTGTTCAGAATTATTTTCTGACTCTTATGCATGCATGATTCTGTGGTGTAATGAGAATAAATAAATAAGCACATTATAGCACAGTACAGCCTGATTCTATTTGTTCCTGGTGAAACCTCTGGTAAAGGGAATCCCACTCTCTGTTCTTGAACAAACCTTTGTTAAGGAGTGTTAACCATTACTGAGTCTGCTCTAAGAAAGACAAAGAGTTAGACTACATGTGCATGTTTATTTCTCTCAAGAGGGCAGGTGTGAATGGGTCCATACATGGGAGCTCACTAAAAATGAACTCAAAGAAATAGTAAACAGAGGCAGGATGTCCTCAGAGCAATCCCCCTCCCATCCTGAATCAGGATGCCCATGTTCTTCCTTAGCCAAAATTATAGTTTCCATAAAACAGAGTGGCCCCATGGGGTCTGGCTTTCCGCCACCAGTAAACATAGGGAGTCTCAACAAAATTGGTTCAAAGAGGGAATAACATAAACACCGAATTGGGTATAGAATTCTGTCTTACTCTACAGGAAAGTAGGAGGAGAAGGAGATTCTTCCTGTCTGTGATCACTAAAGACAGGATACTTGGGACCAGACACTGTCTGGAAGAGTGGTATCCTATGGACATATCCTATATCTTGGTATCCTATGGACATAAGTTATATAGGGGAAACACAGATATCCTGGGACTATAATTCCAATGGACACTTTGTTACTTCTCTTGTCTTATTGTATTTACAACCTCTTCAACTAAGAAACTGCCTTTGTCATGCTATATGTTAAAAACATACAAAGGCTGTATATTTTTTTGAGTGACACAGACATCCTGAGTCAGGATTGCTCTAAGAACATAAATTGTCTATTTCAAAATGCTTAAGTCAGTTAGAGTTAAAGCTCTGGCTCCGTGTACATGTTGCTAACTTAAGAGAACAAACAATATGAATTTACTCATCATCACCAGCTTCTTGCCTCTGTAACCAACTTTCAGGTTGAGAGTAGGAAACAAGGAAACAAACAATTTTTAATTTTGTTCCAGGAACAATCACTTTACAAATATTGTCTCATCAGATCCCAACAACCCTGTTGTGTAGGCCACATTACCTCAATTTTACAGTAAAGAAAACAGAGGCAAACTAGCTAGTATCAGAGTCCAGATTTGAGTTCAGGTCTTCCTGTGAAGTATGACCACTATATCTCTTAGTAAGTGTGTGTGTGTGTGTGTGTGTGTGTATAGCTGTTTGCAAATTCTCTCCTTTCTTCTTCAATTCTTGGAATGCCAAGAGTCTACTAGTTACTTAGACCAAACCAGGTGCTTAACAAATGTTTGTTGACTTACTTGATGAAATGCTTTCAAATGTGAGCTACCTGAGGGCAGGGACTGTTTCACCTTGTTTTGCACCCCAGAACTTAGCACATAATCAATGCATGTTGAATTAAAACGAATGAGTCCCCAGATCATGGAGATTGGAGCCATTCTCTTACTTTCTGCATTCCAAGATCTGGTAATATCAACTCTACTCAACGAAGGGGTACCATTTTGAATCAAAGCTGTGGAGCCTGAGTTGGGTCAAAGGTATAACTGCTATACATATTACTCTAGGTGGAATTTCATTAGTTTCATAGAATTGATTTGTACCTGTTGGTAACTCCGACTAATCTAAGGTCATATAAGTGTTCTTCAGCCCCATGATTCAGCTTTGGTTTACAAAGGATAGCTAAATGATCATCATGTTATTAAATATTCACTAGCTGTAATTAATGAAACTATTACCAAGAAATTATGTCTCTCATACTTTTCATTGATCAGATTTGTTTGGTAAGGAGATTGTGTACGTAAAATTTTTATCACATTCCAAACACTCATAACTTTTCTCTCCAGTATGGATTCTCTGAAGTACAATAACTTTGGAGTTCAATCTGAAAGCTTTTCCACATTGAATATGTTTATACCGTTTCTCTCCAGTGTGGATTCTGTAATATGCAGCAAGATTGGAGCTCTGTGTGAAAGCCTTTCCACACTAATTACATTAATAAAGTTTCTCACCAATGTGGATTCTCTGATGTAGAGCAAGTAGGGAGCTCAGTCTGAAAGTCTTTCTACATTGATCACATTCAAAAGGTTTCTCTCCAGTGTGCATTCTCTGGTGTACAGCAAGATGGGAACTCTGTGTGAAAGCCTTTCCACATTGATGACATGTATAAGGTTTTTCTCCAGTGTGGGTTCTCTGGTGTACAACAAGACTGGAAGACTGTGTGAAAGCCTTTCCACATTGATTACATCCATAAGGCTTCTCTCCTGTGTGGATTCTCTGATGTTTAGCAAAACTGGAGCTCTCTTTGAAAGCCTTTCCACATTGATCACAGTGATAAAGTTTCGTGTGGATTTTCTGATGTATGGCAAGTAAGGAGTTCAGTCTGAAAGTCTTTCTACATTGATTACATTCAAAAGGTTTCTCTCCAGTGTGGATTCTTTGATGTAAAACAAGATAGGAGCTCCGTGTGAAAGCCTTTGCACATTGATTACATTTATAAGGTTTCTCCCCTGTGTGGATTTTCTGATGAGCAGAAAGATTGGAACTCTGTGTGAAAGCCTTTCCACATTGATCACATTCATAAGGCTTCTCCCCACTGTGGATTTTCTGATGTGTAGCAAGACTGGAACTCTGGGTGAAAGCCTTTCCACATCGATTACATTTATAAGGTTTCTCTCCAGTGTGGATTGCCTGATGTCGAGCAAGATGAAAGCTTCTTCTAAAAGTCTTTCCACAATGATCACATTCATAAGGTTTCCTACCAGTGTGAATTCTCTGATGTATAATGAAGGATGAATGTTCACTAAAAGCTTCACCACATTCTTGACACTCATTTGCTTTCTCTCTAGTATTCATTTGTTGATGGTAAATAAGGGATGACTGTTCACTAGGCTCTTTCCTACCATGATGACAATTGTAACATTTGTCTCCTGTGTGAATTCTGTTAAGTACAGCACATATTTGTCTCCCAATGAAATCACAGGAACCATCACTCATGAAGTTTTCCTGGTGAGTTTCTTTCACAGAAATGCTCAGCTTTGCAGTAGTCTCTTTCATTTCAGGTCTAATCTCTCTTTCTGCAAGAAACAAACAATAAGGCATATATAGAGACACATGTACACACACATATAATTATAATCCCTTCCCTCCATTGCCAAAAAGTAAATGATCAGATCTACATTCTACTTCACCAGGCTAAGGAAAATCTTCATAGTTCAATGGACAGAACCAATCATTTGAAAACACCTCACCTCACCCCTGAGGGATGCCGGATTTACAAAGAGCTTCACACCCAATCAGACTGGAGCCTCACAAGCACCCGTCATGCAGGTGCACCAAGTATTCTCCTTGTACACACAACTCAGGCCATGAGCTGAGAATGGCTGAGTGACCTGCCCCACACCTGGGCAGCTGAGGCGAGAAGTCCGACCCTGCAAGAGGGCATGCTCTGTCCATGGTACTAGTCGGCCTTTCTCCAGTCCACTTTCTTTTCTTTTGTTTTCTTTTTGAAGAAAAAAAAATGTTATGATTGCAAGTTGACGTATTCTCCCCCTCCTTTGGATCTTCCCATTCGCTGAGACACAACAATATTGGAATTAGGCCCATTAATACTCACACAATGGGCCTTTAAATTCAAGGGAAAAGAAGAGTCAATCAGTGTAGCAAGCTTCACTGTAGCCTGATTTTTAAGAAATTGCCACGGCCACTGCCAACCTTGAGCAACCCCCACCCTGATCAGTCAGCAGCCATCAACCCTGGTCCACCAGGAGTAAGACGAAGACTCAGTGAAGGCTTAGCAGACAGTTACCTTTTTTAATCATGAAAATATTTTCAAATTTATGTACATTTTTAAGGATATGATTGTACGCATAACAGACAACAGCATATAGTAAACATAACTTTTATATGCACTGAGAAATGAAAAATTCAGGTGACTCACTTGACTGCAGTATTCACTTTCCTGTGCTGCTCTAGAACCAAACCCATGCTGTCTCTGAGGTGTGCCTGAAATTCTTCTCATTCTTGTTTTGACTTTGACTCTTTCCTCCCCAATTCTACTCTCCTCCTTAAACTGTTACTAGCCTCACCCCTTGAGTTCCCTCATATCCCATTGAACTACATGTCTCTCCATTCCCAAACACTCTCTTTTCCCTGGATCAGCTAAGAGCAAGGCCACTGATCTGTTGCTTCTTCTCAAGCATCTCCATGTTTGTAGGCCACGTTGGCAGCTCCTTGACTGCAGGGACTGGCTTTCCCCTTCCTAAAGCTTAGCCAGTTGCATAGAAAACTGGAGGTGCTTCATCCATGCTTACTGAATAATGACTGGGCCCAGGGCTGACACCAGGCCCCAGGCTCGACGTCAAGCCCTGTATTCTGGTCTCTGCTTTAGTTGTCAAATGCAGGTTCTGTCCTCAGCCCTGTTTCTAGCTCTTTCCTGCACTTTACCTCGTACATTGAGTGGCCTTTTTGTCTAGTTCTAACCATGTTAGAACCTGACCGGATCCACAGTGAAGGTCACAGAGACTTCTTTCTAGGCTCCTGAAGCATCTCATACTGTGGGACAGCTTGAAGTTTCTACGTCCTATTTCTCCAAAGTGAGAGTGGCTGTCAAATCAAAGAATCTGGCAAACGATCATCCAAGAATGGGCCAAAGATTGAGCCTCAGAGACCAGGGGAGGGACACAGGTGGATGATTTATGTAAAGCACAGCCTTGGATTAATTCTAAGGAAAGCCCTAACCTTTGCTACTACATAGATGCTGCTGAATGGAGAGAGAGAAAATCATAAAATCAGACTGCTGGGTCCACGTCACATTCAGCCTACATAATCTCAGTGTGACCCTCACTGTGGCAAGGCCATCCTAAGACATCTCCCTAACTGACTCCCTTGGGGCAGCTAGGTGGTACAGTGGATGGAGTACTGGTCAAGAAGACTTGAGTTCAAATCCAGCCTCAAGACACTTCCTATCTGTGTGACCCTGGGCAAGTCACTTGGGACTCTTGGCCTCAGTTTCCTCACTTGTAAAAGTGAAAAGGAAACAGCAAACCATTCCAGTATCTTTGGCAAGAAAACCCCAAATTGGATTGTGAAGAGTCAGAAACAACAGAAATGAGTGAAGAACCACCTGAGTGATTCCGTATCACATTCACCACAGCAGCTTTTCCAATCCTTTTCAGTCTTCCCCAACCCTCCCTTATTGTTTGCTCCCACTCTCCACCAACCACTCACCTTCTCACCAGAGAAATTTGCCTTATATTTAATTGAAAAAAAATGGGTACTTAACAGGAGCTGCCTTATCCTCCTCATCTCCCACAAATGAAGTGCCCTTTGTTTCCTTTTTGACCTCAGTATCAGATGAAATGGTCCTCTCTCTGCTTGCTAAAGCAAACTCCTTTCAATGTGTAAACCATCCCATTCCAGTATGCCATTTTCCTCAGTATACTGCCTCTCCAGCATTCCCATTATTTCTTTACTTTTCAGTCTCCCGCATTAATGTCTCCTTCCCTATTGCCACAAATAAAACCATTTCTTTCCAATCCTCAAAATACAGTCATTTGATCATGCAATCCAAGAGATATTTTCCAATTTCTTTCTTCCACGTCATGACTAAACAGCTGGATATGCTCATTTACAACTGGTGTCTCCAACTTCTTCCTTTTGCTTTCTCTGAAATCCTCTGCAGTCTAGCTCCCAGTTTCATTCTTCAATAGAAACTCCTCTCCAAAATTGCCAAAACTCTCAAAGTTGCTAAATTCACTGGCCATTTATTTATTCTCATCCTTCTTGACTTCTCTCTCTCTCTCTCTCTGATACTCCTATCCTTGTTCTCCAAACTGAACTTATTCTCTTTTCCCCAACCCTCCCATCTCCCTCCTTTCCTAATGGTCTCCAAGGCATCCTCCCAATAGCACTGACTCACAAATGAGGTGTCATGCACCCCTCACTGACTCTCACACATTCACACTTCTGACCCCCATCTTCAATCAGCCAAGTCCTGTGATTCCACCAAGCAAACATCTCTCCCATTCACCCCCCTTCTCTCCCAACATTGCCACTGTCTTGGTTCAGGTTCCAAACACCTCACACACCTGAGGTATTGCAAGAATCTGCTGCTTGGCCAAGTTGCCTCAAGTCTCCCCCCACCCAGTCATTCCTGCACCCACTTGTCAAAGTTCATCTTCCTAAAGTTTTGACTATGTCACCATGTTCTCAACAACCTGCTATGGCTCCCTAGGAAATAGATCAAATATAAAATCCCCTCTAGGGCTCTTAATCACCTGCTGCTTCTTTACCTACCCCTCTCCTACTCTTCTAATTTTCATTTACCTTATAGCCCCTCCCCAGCATGTTATAATGCAGTGCTATGGGCCTCCCTTCTCTTCTGTGAACAGGACACTCCGTCACCTGACTCCACAGGCTTTCCTCACCATCCCAAGCCTAGAATGCTCACCCTGGCTTCCCTGAAGCCCCAGCTGGAGCCCCCCTTCCACAATAAGCCTTTCTAGTCCTCCTTCACTATAGAGCCTTCCCTCTCAATGAGCTCCAATTTGTCCTGTCCTTAACAGTGTTCTACACTGATGTTGGCATGTTGTCTGTCCCACCAGTCTGTGAGCTGCAGGAGAGCAGGGGATGCTCCTTGTATCTCTTTAGGTCCCTGGTGCTTAGCAGAGGGTGTGGCAGATAGCAGACACTTTTTAAATGTTCATTGACTTGAAGAAGGTCTAAGAAAGAGCCCATATTGGAAAGCCCAACCCTTTTTGCACTTTCAGGGGAGGTCCTGCCTACAAATTCTAAACAATGCCTCTTTACAGGATCACAGATTTAGTACTGGAAGACAGCTTAAGGGTCATGGTGTCTAATTCCCTCATTCTACCCATGGGAAGACTGAGACTCAGAGATTCCTTAACTTGTCCAGGATCCCACTTGCTTCACCACCACACCTAGAAGCTTCTTGTCATCACAGCTCTCATTACCTGCTTTCACCTCACTCACCTGCACAGCAGCTCCTCAGGCCTTCTTGCTCCAGCAGCCATGGTGCTTCCCTTTCCTCAAAATAAGAGAACAAATCTTCTCTGGGAACTGGCAGCCCTGGGCAGGGAGAATCATGGATGAGGATTGAGAAAAACTTGTAATTTAGGTTCCTTTAGGGAAAAGAGTGTGCATACAAAGCCACTGCATTTGGAGGATCACTCCATCATGTTCACACGTATCTGGCTCCTTCTCCTATCAATGCTTGTAATGCCAGTAACCCAAAATAAGATGTGCCAGATTAGCCTTTAGCTCCAGCAAAAGGGACCTTGATGAACCAGCTTTGGCCCTGTCCCTTACCCTGCTCCTCACTCCCCAAAACCTATAAATACCTTGTTACTGTTCATTCATGGAGTCTTTGCCTTTTCTGATGAGACTGTCCTGCTGGGGAAGTCAATGAATCTTAGCCCAAATTCTGACTCTTGGCCAGTCTGTTATTCCGGCCATTGACAGCAGCTTGCAAGCAAGGAATGCAGGATGGTTCCCAGGACTCCTTAAGCAAGGTTTCCATAGCAGTTATTTTTGGGAGCTTTGAGGAGAGGTGGGGGGAAGAAGATCATGGAGCCAATTAGGAATCAGAGAATTTGGTCCTGGCACACCTTCTTCATAGAAGGATGGACTCATTGCAAAGTCCTCATTATCTAGAAATTGGAGGCAGCTGGCAGTGCAGCGCAGAGAGCCCTGGGCCTGGAGTCAGGGATGCCAGGGTTTAAATCCAGCCTCAGGCAGTTACTAGCTGTGCCTCTGGAAAAGTCACTTAACCTTTACTTGCTTCACTTTACTCAACTGTCAAATGGGGATAATAACGTCACCTAATGACAGACTATTGTAAAGGAATCACTTAGCACAACAGCTGGTGAACAGCAGGTGAATAGAAATGCTTATTCCCTTCCTGTCTTTCCCACCACCTGTGCTGGAATGGGGGCACTGTCAAGGAAGATTTAGGACAAACCTGCCATTGCAGGCACATGTAGGAGCTGTGAGCTATAAATTGAGGCTTCTTAAGAAGAATGTTCCATACAGTAGGGCTATCCCAAAGGGGAAGGGGTCACAAAGAAACACTGCCTGAGAAGTTTTCAGACTTGGCAGACAAAATTCATGTCCAGGAAGAGGCTGGAGTACATAATGTGGAATTACTTCCATATCTGAGAGGTTACAACACTGATCTGATCTTTGACCTCATGCTACCTAGAATTGGCAAGAGACAGCTTCAGGAACAACCAGGAAACCTCTAGGTTCTCTTCACACAGTGTACTGACCTTTTGTAGGAAAACTAGGCAGCAGGGGACCCTGTCTCTTGGACCAAGAGACCGGCACTTTTCCCTTTCAGTAATTGATAAATGCTTTAAACCCAGCCCACTCAGGAATGAAGATATTCCCTTGGATTGCAGACTCAGAGTGGCCAGGGGAAGCATCCTTACCCAGGGAGAGCATGTTCTGGGCATTCTCCAGCATGACCTCCTTGTACAACTCCTTCTGAGGATTGTTCAAGAGGCCCCACTCCTCCTGGGTGAAGTCCACAGCCACATCCTTGAATGTCACCAACTCCTAAACCATCAGAAGTCACAAGGTTTAGAGCTGAAAGAGACTCCAGAATTCCTGTAGTCTAACCCTCATCATGTGAGAGGAGGAAACTGAAGCACAGGCAGGGGGTTTACCCAAAGGTAATACCCTTGAGGAGTGTCAGAGTCAACACTTGAAAGCATAGTCATCGAGAGCCCAATGGGCTTAATACTGAGAAAAGCATTTGATATGATGAGTTGGAATGAAGTTGAGAAAAGTCTTACTATGGAGTATGTCTCCGTATGGAATGTGGGCAAAAGTTTGTATTCTACCTGTGAGGGAGGAGGTTCTATGGTAGAGACAGACAGAAGATGATCTGCAATTTCTATCTTCTCAGAAATGATAGATGTGATACGTTACAAAGAAAATTCTGTGGGAAGGGTCTAAGGAACTGGCAAGTACAGTGTATTTGGGGGGGTTCATGAATTTATGTGTGATTACTGAAGAGAGGAAAGAAAAAGAAAAGATCTAGTTTATTTCCTGAGAGGCTGAAAGAATGTCTTATGTAGATAAAACATGAAAAAAATTCTAGAGACATACTAATTACAATCTGGACTGAACTAAGGGCTATGAGACTTTCCAGCCAAGGGAAGAAGAGTTAGTTATCTGTCGTTACAAGGGGGCTTGAGGCTGCCCTGGGTATGATGTGTCATGGCCAAAACACCTTATGCCTTCACTTTATGATTGCTTTCATTTGTCAATAACATATTTCTTTATTATAATATTTAGTTACACACTTGGTCATTTATGTTGTTCATTCTGCTCCAAGTGAACCAAAATGACATCTCTATGTCAGGGTCAAGGTACAGTGTCTCTGACCATGGATGACCAGACTAATAAAGCCCAGAAGGCTGCACCAGAGATTGGGCACAAATACTCCATGTGAACATTTGGGGTAGAGATGGCTCTGAATTTGCACATCTCACCGTTCTTTTGAGCTACTTCCATTGTGCTTTGCTCACATGGCACAGCACATTCTTTCATGCGGGCACACCATGCTGAGTGGTCCTTTGCCATGTCTCCCATGACTCACAATTGATTACAAAGTTCTTCAGAGAGACCTTGGGAATGTCCTTGTATCACTTCTTCTGACCACCTTGTGAGTGCCTTCTTTGCATGAGTTCTCTGTAAAATAGTCTTTTAGGCAAACATTCTTTTGGCATTTGAACAGCGCAGCCAGCACATCAGAGATGTGCTCTCTGCAGTACAGTGTGAATGCTTGGAAGTCTAATTTGAGGGAAGGACCTCAGTGCTCAGTACTTTATCCTGCCAGGTGATCTTCAGAATCTTCCTAAGACAATTCACATTGAAGATATTCAGTTTCCTGGCATGGCACTAGTATACTGTCTAGGTTTCACAGGCATACAACAATGAGGTCAGCACAAGAAACTCTGTAGGCCTTCAGTGTGGTATGTACTTTAACACCTCTTGTCTCCCACACTTGTCTTGGCAGCCTCGTAAGCAATGAGCTACCTCTGGCAAAGCAGGTGGTCAACTCTTAAAATTAGTAATCTCCCATGGGAAATAATCTGAAGTACAAAATTTGCTAGTAAATAATGATCTAATTGTAACAGTTTACAGGTTACCTTTAAGTAAGGTCAACTAACTCCTCAGTAATTTTTGACAAAGGTGTAATTTACAGAGCTTATTTTTATTACAGAAGAGAAAGAAAAAACTACAACAACCTTAGAAACATGTTTTGAACAAAATTCAACTGGACAAGGCTGGTCATCTGACTATTTAACCCTCCTGGATTTTCTTGATCCAGTTTTCATCCCTTGTCTATCAACCTGTCCATCAAAGTAAGAAAACCTTGCTCTGCAGCTGATGAGTTTTCCAAAGAGAAGTATTACTTTAAAGAAGCATGTAGTCTGAAGAAAGACTGGAAAAGAGGAACTTGTGGTTTGTAGGTAGCAGTCACATCCCAACCACCAGCTGCCAGAAAGGGAAACCCAACCTTCGAACATCCCACTGCTCAAGGTAGACTTAGCCTCCAGCTGAAGAAAAAATTAGAAGGAGCTAATCCACCAAGACTGGAAAGAGGAACTTAGAGTATTGTTAACCTCTTTGCTGCAGCAGCCAGAAAGGGGAATTTAGCCTTTGACAAGTCTTACAGTCCCATGATTAATTTAGTCCTAAAACAATACGTGTCTTACTCCAAATTATCTATAACTAAATCATAAAGTCTTATCAATCCATGTATTCACTAAATCTACAGGTAACCAAGACTTAGGAGAATATTTATGTTAATCTGGCTTTGTGCTGTGAAGGCTAGCTTTTCCCAAAGAAAGGAACCTAATGCTACAATCAAACTAAAAATAAACCAATGTAATTAAACAGTAACTCATTTAAAGGTCGTTTCTTTTCATGACCTCATCACCTCTGTGTACATGCTAGAAAGTGTACTGTCAAAATAAGTGAACTTATTCAGAGGACTCAAAATTTCTACATTTGCTGTAATCAATAGATGGTGCCATACTGAATGATGAAGAACCTCTGCTTTTTTTTTCATCTTTAACAATATATTTTGTCCCAGGGACATGTTAAATTTTTTAAATGTTTCTTAAAGTTTTGAGTTCCAAATTCTATCCCTCTTTCCCTCCCATCTCCTTTAAGACAGTAAGCAATCAGATATAAGTTATACATGTGCAAGCATGTAGAATATTTCCATGTTAGTCATTTTGTAAAAGAAGCTCTGAAAAAAAAAAAGAAAAATAATGAATGAGAGAAAGTGAAAAATAGCATGCTTCAGTCTGCATGAAAACAACATCAGTTCTTTCTCTGAAGGTGGATAGCATGCTTCATCATTAGTCCTTTGGGATTTTCTTGGATCATTGTATTGCTGAGAATAACTAAATGATTCATAGTTCTTCACTGAATGTTATTGCTTTTACTGTATATGAAGTTTTCCTGGTTCTGTTCACTTCATTTTGTATCAGTTCACGTAAGTCTTTCCAGACTTTTCTGAAATCATCCTGCTTTTCGTTTCTGAAAGCACAGTAATATTTCATTACCATCACAGACCACAGCTTGTTAAGCCATTCCCAATTGATGGAAATCCCTTCAATTTCTGATTCTTAGCCACCACAAAAAGAGCTGCCGTAAATATATTTGTACAAATAGGCACTTTCCACTTTGTTTTGATGTCTTTGGGTTATAGACCTAGCAGGCATACTGCTGGATCAAAAATCACGTACAGTATTATAACTGTTTAGGTATAGCTCCAAATTGCTCTCCAGAATGGTTGGATCAGTTCATAACTCCACCAACAATGCAGTAATGCATTAATAAAGTTTTCCCACATCCCCTCCAACACCCATCATCTCCTTTTTTTGCCACATGATCCAATCTCATGGGTGTGAGGTAGTACCTCAGAGTTGTTTTAATTTGCATTTCTTCCATCAATTGTGATTGAGAGGTAAGAGGAAGGAAACAGGTAGAGATTTGGGAACTCAAAACTTAGGAACAAAAAATGTTTGTATATGTCATTGGGGAAAAAATGAAATATTATGTAAAAAAGACTAATAGCCAAGGGCAGTTAGGTGGCATAGTAGCTAGAGCACCAGGCCTGGAATCAGGAGGATCAGAGCTCACATTTACCCTCAGACACTAGCAATGTGCCCCTGGGCAAGTCACTTAAGCCTGTTTGCCTCAGATCCTCCTTTGTAAAATGATCTAGGGAAGGAAATGGAAAACCACTCTAGTACTTCTGCCAAGAAAACCCCAAAGTGTGGCAGGAAGAGTAAGACATGACTGAAAGAACTGAAAAAAAAAACAATAGCCATTCCCCAAAACATAAATGGTCAAAAAATATGAACAAAGAATTCTTAAAAGAACTGCCAAGTATTCCCAACCACATAAAAAAATGCTCCAAACCCCTAGTGAGAGAAATGTAAACCAAAACAACATTGAGGCTTCATCTCACACTCTGCAAAACTGACAAAAATGGCACCAGTCAATGTTGGAGGGGTTTGGGAAGATGGGCACACTAATACAACTTTGGGGGAGCTAGGAAATGGTTAAAGATCACAAAGATGTGAGTTCAAATCCAGCATTTGACACTTATTATCTATGTGACCCTGGTTGGTCTGTTTGCCTCAGTTTCCTGAACTGTGAAGTAAAGATAATAAGAACATCTACATATAGGTTGTTGTGAAGATGGTCAAAAGTGGATTTTGGAGAAAGTAAGTCACTCCATTGCATCTTTGCCTTTGAGCCTGATGCCTCTTTGACAAGAGCTATGTGTCTCCTTCAATACCCTCCCCTCCCCCATTGGAAAAGAAAACTCTGAATAATTCCCCAAACTCAGCCCTTTCCCTATATCCTCTCTAACAAAGGAAGTACTAGGCCCTTCACAAATGCTAATTAACAGCCAAAGAAGGTACTCTTTCCTTTGGCCTGCTCCAAACAGCTTTACTAAGGGCCTTTAAACATGTGAATGTGACCCAGAAGCCAACTTAACCTGTTTTCCGGAGTTGCCATATTTTCCAGAAACACTGGGCCAGAGTATGCAGGAGGCCAGAACACCCCCCAGCCCCAGCTCATAGTATTTGGTCCTTTCAACCCTCACTGCCCTCTCAGTGTGCCCTTGAGGGTCAAACCAGCTACAAGACAGGACCAGTCAGTGTGCACCAGAGGGATAAACTGTGCGGCTGGGACCCTGGAGGTTAGGCAGGGCATCCTGTCTTCAAGATCTGGAAGGGAGAACTTGGCCAAAGAAGCAAAGAGGAGGGGGGAGCAGTTCTATCAATGAGTGGGGGAGGGGTGCTAGGCATGCATAAAGGGAGCAAAGACAAGACCCCTGCAGAAGAGAGAGGAATGAGTGAAGTGGTCATCCTTGTGACTCAGGGATCAGGAGGGAAAACTTTAAAACTGAACAGGGGAGGGCAGCAACTGGGATGGGGGGAGGGTAGTAGTTAGTGCTTGTGATGCCAAAGTGCTGAGAATCAGTTCAAAACACAGAAGGGGAGAGCAGGCCAGTGTTGTTACTACTGTTTTCAATTCCCTGCCTATTTTTGTAAAGAAATAATCCATAGGTAGGGAATGGCCAGCCTCCTAGACAATCCTCTGTCTCTGGAAATGGGCTGATGTGGGTCAAGTCTGAGGGCAGAGTGCACTCACCTGGATTGGGGGTCTGCGGCTTCCAGGGGCCATTCCCTCTGACTCCAGGGTCCCTGCTGGGTCAGGCCTTGATCCTCTGCACACTGAGCTGGGGAGGAAGAAGGATCCCAGGGCAGGAGGCTGGCCTGCAGGGATTTACAGGGGTGAGGCACTGCCCTCAGGGAGAGAGTACCGCCTACAGGAAGTGTCAGGCTTGGAAATGAGATGATCCCACCCTCTCCTACTCCTTCTTTCTGCCCCCTTTCTCTCCCCCATTCTCCTACAGAGACTCAGGAGGCAGAAGGGGCTTGGGATCCCAGATGGGATGGGACCAGGCAGAGCTTCAATGGCTCCTGAATCAGACCTCTCCCTCCAGTTGGTCTTCTGCCCTCCCTGCCTCCCCTCTCCCCAACTAAAACCCACATAATCTAGGAAACAGACTGACTGCTTGACCTAGGTAGGAGGGAAGCTTAGAAAAGGTGACCCAATGGTAAGTCTGGGGAGGGTGACCCCAGGCATTTGGGAACTGATTGGGAGTCTGGAAAGGGTTAGGGATGCAGAGACTGTCTAGTAGCCAGGCCTGGGCAGGAGGACTGCTCCAGGCGGACCTGGAGGACATGTACCACAGGGTCAGAGGAGGAGGATGTGACCCAATGGCCTGAACAGGCAGCAGGTCTGTGAGGGGCTGGCTCAAACCTACCTTGGGTCTGCACCCACAGTGATGGCATCCTAAGGCAGAGATCTCAGGTCCAAGAGAAGGCAGCAGTGATCTAAGCTGTGAGGGAGGAAGGCAGAGAAATCTCAATTCAGAGGGAAGAAGGCAGCCCAGTCTCAGCACAAGTTCCAGTTTTCAGCCAGCCCACTTTGGGAAGGTCCTCCCAGGCTCTGCCCAGACTCTGAGGCCCCCAGGAAGGGCTCTTTCCTCCAATCACATCCAGGGCCAGCAGTTCAAGACCCAGTCTGCCTTTCCTGCCTAAGCCCTGCCCTCCATCACATGGAATGCCTTGGCCACTGGGATGAGCCCTCTCCTGCCCTAGGCCCCTCCTAGGCCTCCAAACTCCACCCCAGGGCTCTTATTCCACCTGGGCTACCACCCACCACGCTGGTCATCTCTGAGAGCTCCTCCTCTCTTATCACTCTACCACCTGATTCCTTACTGGAGGAAAGATTCGGGACTTTAGGAGGTGGGAGGGGGAGAGCAAGGAAGTGGCAACCTGGAGATTTCCAGGCAAGCACGTGATTCACAGCAAAACAGTTTATTTTCAAAATGGAGGTTGTTCACAAAATGCAGATGGCTGGGTTAGCTTGTTTCTCCTGACTTAAATTAGAATGGGGCTCATTTAAAGTCAGATCCCAGGAGGATAATTGAGATGTTTGACCCTAAGGGCAGATCCACTCTTAATGTAAAATACACCTAAAACTTGGCATTTAAAAAGGTGATGTGTTTAGGAGCTGAAAGAATGAGAATTAAATGTAATTAGATGAAAATTACTCTATTGTACTCTGTGAATGCAATCAGTCTGTAGGGTATATAGGGTCAAAGGGATAAATGGATAAAGTGGTTTTTATATCTAAGATAATTCTAAAACAACCGAACTGATGTTATGTGACTGGCAACTTTGTTTCACGTATTAAAACTGTAACATTGTTTATGTTATTATGTTTAAAATTTTTCTTATTTGGGGTTATGGAGGAAACTATCATATAAGTTATGCTTTTATTTGAAAAAATGATTTCTAGAAGAACATGCAATTGTAACCTTAGAAAATGAACTTTTCTTCTGATCAGAATGCTGTGAAATTATGAATTAAGCTGTAAGAGTGCTTAGAGTGTTAAAAAAAATCTTACATATGTCATCAGACATATTTGGCTTTAAGATGAATAATAATAATTTACTCTTTGACAACAGTACAAAGGACCTTGTAAATTCTCCATTCATTCTTTCACCCTGATTAAGGAGGCAAAACACAGGACAAAGAGAATTAAAAGGAGTTTATTATCCTATGTCAAGCTAGCAGAACACTGAGGGGTTGATCACCTTAGGTCATCAAGGGATTCAAGAAGGAACCAGCTTTTACTGATGTCTGGGTCTAAAGTAGTAAAATGGGATGGGCCTTTGCATCTGAGCTCCTCACCTATTGCCAGGACATGAGGGCTACCAGGAGCACACAGGCAGGGGGTGACTGGCTAGGGGATAAGGAGCAGACTGCCTGATGCCTCCCCCAACACTGACTGACAAGCAGGTCTGGGAACAATGGGCCACTGAGTCAGTATGAAGTACAATATTATTGCTGAAGTTCTTTGGGAACTGACCAAGTGAAGGCCTTGGGACCTTCTCTTTGGCAAGGTCACAAAATTTTAGGAGCCCTGGGGAAGAAGGTGCTGAGAAAAGGGTATCCAATTCTAAAGGGATGAAGTGGTTCACTGAGTAACCAAGACCTCCCACAGGTGAAGGGGGGTGCAGAGAGTGGGAAGACAGACCAGGTGGAAAGGGCAGTGAGCAAAAGCCAGAAACTCTGTGTAGCCATGATCCGACCTTCCTGGGACCCGCACCAGCAGAGCTAGCTTCCAGAAGGCAGAGATATCACAGCTCCAAGGGAAGGCAGAGTGAGCTACACTCCTGGGGAAGAAGGCAGAGACATACCAACTCCAGGGGAAGAAGGCTTTACAAGTTTGCTTCTAATAGAGGAGCCATTTTCATCTGATGGACTGTCTGACCTCTGATTATGAAAAGTATAAAATCTCACCTGGAACAATATGTATGGAAGTGACATCTTTGAGCCATCTTAGTCTCAAGAAACCCTAGCCTTGATTCCCAAAGGGCCTCCTTCCTTGACTGGAGCTGACGTTGAAGATCTTGGGGTGCAGAAAAGAAGAGAATGCCTCAGATTCTCTTGAGCTGGGGACTCGATGACGTTAATTCAAGAATCATTTATGCATTAATCAATAAACATTTGTTAAGCACCTACTATGTGCCAGGTGGTATGCTAACTGCTGAGGATACAAAGAAAGATTAAACAGTCCCTCACAGTTGTTTTTTCTTTATGATATTGCTGTCTTCATTGTTCTCCTGGTTCTGCTCACTTCACTTTGCATCAGTTCATATAGGTCCTCTCAGATATCTTTTAAACATTCCCTTCATCATTTGTTACAGCATAATTATATATCATCATGTTCTCATACCATAACTTCTTCAGCCATCCACCAATTGTCATCTTCTCCATTTCTAATTCTTCTGTCACCACAAGAAGAACTGCTAGAAACATTTTTGTATGGATGGATCCTTTTCCTTTTCCTGTTATCTCCTTTGAGAAAAGACCATGTAACAGCATAGCTGGGTCAAAAGGCATGCAAAGTTACATAGCCCTTTGGGCATACATCCACATTTTTCTCCAGACTGGATGGACTAGTTCACAACTTCAGCAATGAGGCATTACTGTAGTTACTTTCCCACATCTCCACCAGCATTTGTTATTTTCCTTTTCTCCCATCTTACCCTATTTCATGGAGGTGAGGTGGAACCTCACTTGTTTTTTTATTTACATTTCCCTAATTGTTAGTGATTTAGATAATTTCTTTATATGACTATTAATATCTCAGATTTCTTCCTCTAAAAATTCCTGTTCATATACCTTCACCATTTATCAACTAGAGAATGTACAAATTTGACTCCGTTCTCTATATATTTGAGAAATCAAACCTTCATCAGAGAAACTTTATCCAAGTAAAAATGCCAGCCTGCCAGTTTCCTGACTTTAGCTTAATTTTGGCTGCATTTTGTTTTGTTGCCTTAAACCTTTTACATTTTATGTAATCCAAATTACCTGATATATCTTCTGCAAACCTCAGTCTCTTGTTTGATCAAGGTTAATTTCTGGTTAATTTCCTTCAGTTTGGAAACATGAAGAGATTTCTTAAGAAACATTAATCACAATCTCGACTAAATTGAATGGTATGAACCTGTTTCCATGCAAGTGAAGAAGAGATTTGTTGTGGTTGAGCTGTTTCAGTCAGAGGCAACTCTTCATTATCCCATTTAGGGTTTCCTTCAAAAAGATACTGAAGTGAAAAAACAAAAACAAAAAATGGGCACCTAGGTGGCAGGGTAGATTCAGGAGGACCTGAGTTCAAATCCGACCTCAGACACATAACACTAGCTGTGTGACCCTGGGCAAGTCATTTAATCCCATTGCCTAGCCCCCCCCAAAAAAAACATACTGAAGTGGTTTGTCATTCCCCTTGTCAGCTCACTTTACAGATGAGGAAATTGAGGAAAACAGAGTTAAATGACTAGCCCAGGGTCACACAGCTGGGAAATGACCGAGGCTGCATTTGAACTCTGATCTTCTTGCATCCAGGCCTGGGGCTCTTCCCACCACACCATCTAACTGCCACTGAGGCAGGAATATCTACTGTCATACTGAGGGCTTCAAGAAGCTGTGGGTGTGATGTGTTAGAGACAAAACATCTTATGTCTTGGCTAACGATTGCTTTCATTTGGTAGTGGTATATTTTCATTAATTTTGATGTTCGTATAGAAAAAAGAGTAATTTCAATGGGGAAAGGAGAGTTTTTTCACGTATCAAAAATGTAATATTTTATGAGGTGGGGTTGGAATTGGAACTAATTCAGGAGATGCATTGCCAGGTTCTTTATGAGAAAAAATGATCTAAACATGCCCTTCAGAACTCTAGAACACTGGAGAACGAAAGTCAAGAGAATGAGTTTCAGAACACGGTTGATGGAAGACGTTCTGCTGGAGAACTTAGCCAGGTCTGAAAGTCTCTTGATCCTTCCCAGGGGTCATCTGTTTGTCCAGTCTGCAACCTGCAGAACACGTTTGGTCAGGGCAATTGTTCTCTGCTGTGCTTCTATTTCATTTTCTACCATTTCCTTAATAATGACATGATGGACCATGTTTCCCCCATTATGTTGTGAGGTCCTTGAGAGCGCAGTCTGGTATTTACTTATTTTTTATCCTCAGCCCTAAACATAATGCCTGGCACATAAGAAATGTTATTGAATGAATAAATACTCCCCCTCTCCATATCAAAACCACTTCATGTAATCTTCTAGCAGCTTCTTTCCTCCAGGCTCTCTCTCATAAAGAGATTGTCTTTGTCTTTGCCAAGGCCAGCCTTCTACAAAGACATTTGATCCCAGCCAATACTGTCTTCTCTAACAGCTCGCAGGCTTACTCATCTTCCCCATCTCTCAAATTTTCAACCTTGCGCTACCAGCTGGTTCCTTTCCTGCTGCCTTCAAATACACTTGCCTCCTCCATCCACAAGGGACCCTTTGCCAGACCCTCTCCAGCCCTTGAGCTATCTTTCTCTCTTACTTCCTTTTCTTAGCCAAACTCCTTGGAAAACCACTCTGAACCCAGTGAACTCTCTCCTCTCTGCCTCACTCCTCCAAAATTGTTCTCTCTAAAGTTATCAGTGAACTTTTAAGTGGCCCAGCCTGAAGGACTTTTCTTTGTACTGGACATTGTTACCCACTCTCTTCTCCTGGATTCTCACTTCTCTGGGGGTTTTCTCTACTACTTCACTGCCTACCTGTCTGATCACACCTTTTCATTCTTCTTTGACAGCCCATGGACCACATGCAACCCAACAGGGGATGCTCCCCAAGGCTCTGTCCTGGGTCCTTCGCTCTTCTCCCCTCTTGGGTTAATTTAATTATTATCTCTATACAAATGACTCTGTGATCTGGAAACCTCAATCCCTCCTCTGTACGTCAGTCCCATCACCCATTCCTTTTTGGAAATTTCCAACTCACTGTCTCACACACCATTTAACCCCAACCTGCTCAACCTAAACACATTTTTTTTTGCCCTGCACTTTCCCTCTCTTACAAACTTCCCTCTTTCTATGGAAGGCACCACCATCTTTCAGCCTCCCAGCCCCACAGGGTTGTCATTATCCTGCACATCTCTCCTTCATAGCATGTATACAATTAGCTGCCAAATCTCACCTTGGCTACCTTCACTCCATCTCTCATTATGATAGTTTTGGGATTTATTTATGATCCTTAAAGACAATTTATACTAGTTTCAATAAATTCCAATTTTTAGGATTTATTTTTGCTTTAAGGTTGAATAAGAGAT